AACTTTTCGTCGCCTTTGTTAGGATGGCAGAAGAGTACCCGGTGTATCGTACGCAGGGTGTGAGCAAAGACCCGGCGCGATTGTCCGCCGAGATGAAAGCCCATTCGCTAGCGATTAAAGCCAGAATGGATGACATCGCGCGCTCCGACCGAGAACTTGTTGAAATGAATCAAGGATTGGACATTTCTCAAAAGTTCGGACGCGGACAAGACACCCGTGACTTTTCCTACATGGAAAAGCCACAGCGTTCAAGCAACAACCAGGACGCTATGGCGATGATGGCAGAGCATCTCAAGGCGTTCTGTCCGCGTACACGCGTGTCATCCGCAAATGACATGCGTGATGCAAAGACAGCGTCGTACCACGATAGGCACGATGAGCCCCATGGGAGGCGCTGGGATTCGTACTCCAAAAGGAACGCTGGGGCTTCCGAGAGAAGGGAAGAGTTGTACCACGAAAGGCGCAATGAGCCTTCCGAACCGCGCGACGTGCCCTCTGAAAGGCGCATGGGTCGGTATATTATTAATTATTTAATTATTTAAAAAAATGAATAAAAATAACATGCTTTTTCCATTAACTTTTAACTTTTACCGTAGCCATTTTGGCTCAAGTGCTTTCCAATCATCAAAAGCAAAAAGCCCAAACTTTTCGTCGCCTTTGTTAGGATGGCAGAAGAGTACCCGGTGTATCGTACGCAGGGTGTGAGCAAAGACCCGGCGCGATGGTCCGCCGAGATGAAAGCCCATTCGCTAGCGATTAAAGCCAGAATGGATGACATCGCGCGCTCCGACCGAGAACTTGTTGAAATGAATCAAGGATTGGACATTTCTCAAAAGTTCGGACGCGGACAAGACACCCGTGACTTTTCCTACATGGAAAAGCCACAGCGTTCAAGCAACAACCAGGACGCTATGGCGATGATGGCAGAGCATCTCAAGGCGTTCTGTCCGCGTACACGCGTGTCATCCGCAAATGACATGCGTGATACAAAGACAGCGTCGTACCACGATAGGCACGATGAGCCCCATGGGAGGCGCTGGGATTCGTACTCCAAAAGGAACGCTGGGGCTTCCGAGAGAAGGGAAGAGTTGTACCACGAAAGGCGCAATGAGCCTTCCGAACCGCGCGATGTGCCCTCTGAAAGGCGCATGGATCGGTACAGCGAACCGCGCGGTGTGCCCTCCGAAAGGCGCATGGATCCGTACAGCGACCCGCGCGATGTGCCCTCTGAAAGGCGCATGGATCCGTACAGCGAACCGCGCGATGTGCCCTCCGAAAGGCACATGGATCCGTACAGCGAACCGCGCGATGTGCCCTCCCAAAGGCGCATGGATCCGTACAGCGAACCGCGCGATGTGCCCTCCGAAAGGCGCATGGATCCGTACAGCGAACCGCGCGATGTGCCCTCCGAAAGGCGCATGGATCGGTACAGCGAACCGCGCGGTGTGCCCTCCGAAAGGCACATGGATCCGTACAGCGAACCGCGCGATGTGCCCTCCCAAAGGCGCATGGATCCGTACAGCGAACCGCGCGATGTGCCCTCCGAAAGGGACGGGGATTTCTGCCACGCAAAATACGCGGAGTTCCAAGAATGGAAAGAGAAGCACCCGCGGTGGATACAGCAGTACCAAGAATGGGGCACAGAGTTGCAACAAGAGCTCGAGAGTATTAAACAAACAAGAAAGGATTTGGAACTCTGGGAACATTCGTTGCAACAAAAGACTGTCGGACTGCGACGAAGGGAAGAAGCGTTGCAGATACTGGAAGAAGAGGAGAACATGCGTATGATGCACCATGGTGGCGGCATAATGCAGTCAGTGCCAGGTCTGTCGCAGGCCGCTGGAAAGAAGGTCGGACGGGCAGCCGACGTGAACCAAGTCGACTAAATTGGTGACCAATTCTTCCCACGCAAGATTATAAGACAGCAGATCTTATAATCATTTTTCATTTGAAGTTTCACAACAAAACAAAACTTTTTGTTTATTTGTTTATTTCATTATTATTAAAAAAATCATCATATTTATAAATTTATTAAAAAAATCATATCGCAAAATAAGACATCATAAAAAAAATATTTAAGATACAATACATGATTACATAATATTTCTCATGAAGTTTCTTTTTTTGTTAAATTCTAACCATTGTATTTAACCATTATATTATATAACAACGTACAAAATTACTATTTCGCGCGTAAGTATTCTGGTACATGATTAATTCATGATCTAATTTATTTTATTTTATTTTATTTTATTTTATTTTATTTTATTTTATTTTATTTATTTATTTATTAAAAATTCTATTAATAGAACATTATAAAGAATTCAATTATAAATGTATTAAAAAAATCATATCATAAAATAAGACATCATAAAAAATTATTTAAGATACAATGCATGATTACATAATATTTCTCATGAAGTTTCTTTTTTTGTTAAATTCTAACCATTGTATTTAACCATTATATTATATAACAACGTACAAAATTACTATTTCGCGCGTAAGTATTCTGGTACATGATTAATTCATGATCTAATTTATTTTATTTTATTTTATTTTATTTTATTTTATTTTATTTTATTTTATTTATTTATTTATTAAAAATTCTATTAATAGAACATTATAAAGAATTCAATTATAAATGTATTAAAAAAATCATATCATAAAATAAGACATCATAAAAAATTATTTAAGATACAATGCATGATTACATAATATTTCTCATGAAGTTTCTTTTTTTGTTAAATTCTAACCATTGTATTTAACCATTATATTATATAACAACGTACAAAATTACTATTTCGCGCGTAAGTATTCTGGTACATGATTAATTCATGATCTATTTTATTATATTTTTTTTATTTTATTTTATTTTATTTTTATTTATTTATGTATATATATTATGTATTATCTTATTTACTAATTTTTTTATAATATTGTTTTATATTATAATATATTTTTATAAATTTTTATAATGTATAATTATAATAAAAATATAATATAATATTAAATAAATAAGAAAATAAGTAAAATTAAAAGAAAAGAAAATACTAAAAAAATCCACGAACAATTAAACGAAAAATTCCACGAAAAATTACGCGAAAAAGAAAAATAAGTAAAATTAAAAGAAAAATAAGTAAAATTAAAAGAAAATACTAAAAAAATCCACGAAAAATTCCACGAAAAATTACGCGAAAAAGAAAAATAAGTAAAATTAAAAGAAAAATAAGTAAAATTAAAAGAAAATACTAAAAAAATCCACGAAAAATTCCACGAAAAATTACGCGAAAAAGAAAAATAAGTAAAATTAAAAGACAAATAAGTAAAATTAACAGAAAATACTAAAAAAATCCACGAAAAATTCCACGAAAAAAAAATCACGAAAAATTACGTGAAAAAGAAAAATAAGTAAAATTACGCGAAAAAGAAAAATAAGTAAAATTAAAAGAAAAATAAGTAAAATTAAAAGAAAAATAAGTAAAATTAAAAGAAAATACTAAAAAAATCCACGAACAATTCCACGAAAAATTACGCGAAAAAGAAAAATAAGTAAAATTAAAAGAAAAATAAGTAAAATTAAAAGAAAATACTAAAAAAAATCCACGAAAAATTCCACGAAAAATTACGCGAAAAAGAAAAATAAGTAACATTAAAAGAAAAATAAGTAAAATTAAAAGAAAATACTAAAAAAATTCCACGAACAATTCCACGAAAATTACGCGAAAAAGAAAAATAAGTAAAATTAAAAGAAAAATAAGTAAAATTAAAAGAAAATACTAAACAAATTCCACGAAAATTACGCGAAAAAGAAAAATAAGTAAAATTAAAAGAAAATACTAAAAAAATCCACGAAAAATTCCACGAAAAATTACGCGAAAAAGAAAAATAAGTAAAATTAAAAGAAAAATAAGTAAAATTAAAAGAAAATACTAAAAAATAGAAATTTTGCTAAAAATATTTTTTGGAATTTAAAAAAACATATAAATTTTGCTAAACATATTTTTTGGAATTAAAAAAGATTATTTTCTCAATATAATAAAAAAAGTAAAAACAAATATTACAAATTTATATATACAAGCCAAAACGGGTCCCCTGCCAAACTGCCAAACGACCACCTGGTCAATAAGAATGGTCAAAAACCCCTGATTTTAGACCACACTCAGTTGCTTGCTCTGGAAGCACTTGAGAGCTGCCTGGAGCCCTCAACCAAAAAGCGAAACCGAAACTCTTCCTTATTCTGAAATAAACGCCCCTGCTGGTTTTACAGGGAATCGATTCACTACCGGACATATGTTCCCATTGTTTCCAGTGGGCGAACAAACAAATGGAAGGTAATTGGATCAAGAACCTTCCGCTGAGCGCTTGGAAAGATAGATTTGCTTACAAGGCGCGGCCTCTCCGGTGTCTTACGTCGACGGTGTTCGTTGGCTCTGGGATTCCATTGAAGGAATTTTCAGGTACCAGGAGAATTGCTTTTTCGTAGCCAACTGGCACCGATGCATCTGAAGATTTCGCTGAAGTCAGATAGCCAGATCACTATGAAGGCGGACTTCGCAAGGCTGTTCTTGGCTGGTGCCCTTTTCAGATATTTTTGTTTGTGGGGGATGCACCTGGGTGGCTATCATTCAAATACGGAACCACCTCAGCAGTGGCTGGGCGAGAATCACTGAATGTCAATGTCCACCAAAGGGTCCTCTATTATCTTGCTAGTTCTCAGCAGGGAATGAGGGAACAACCCCGAGCCACCATTCTCTACTGCATGGTTTGCTTGAAGGGAATCCCCAAGTTCATTCCCAAATCCGGGTCATTGGCCACCTATCGCACCAGCAAGTTCTTGGAAAAATAACGAATCGTGGGTTGCCCGCGGAGTTTTTGTTGTTTTTCACTTCGAATGCAAGAACCAAAATACAGGTCGATTCTCTGCCGCTTTCTTTTTCCTCCCCCAGTTTTTCACTTCGTTACCCGTGGATATTTTGTTATTTTTTTCTGCTTTCGACCGCAGCAATGCTGGTCTCAGCCCTTTGGGAGATGCGGGGCGGTGCTTCAGACATGTCCTTCCGAAGTGCCTCCTCGTCGCCCTCCCCGCGCGGGGCCCCAACGGACGGAGGGCTCCTGGACGGCTTGTTTTTTTTGGTCACCGGATGAAAAAGCATCGCAACGTGGACAGAGTGCTTTTTTTGGATGGGGTTCTTTGAGAGACAGTTTTTGGAGAAACAGTTCAGCTTGATGGGTGATCAGGGGGCCTTACAAGACATGCCAAACCTGACAAAATCAGGGGGACCCCTCAAAGTAGTGGTTTCCTCTCGGTTCTCCTTTAAACCCACCCCACAAATTAAACCCTCAAGAAAACAGAGGGGCGTGATGATTTTCCATACCTCCATTTGTAGCTGGTTTTTGTTGTACTATTATTGCGTTTGGGATCACGGCTTGGGAGTGACTCTTGTAGATCTTACAGGATTGCTTTTTATGACCTCCGACTACCTTGCAGGAATCTTCCTTGTAGGGCCTCAGACTTTTTTGGGAGGGCCTGACCTAAAAAAAGTCCGCAGAGGTCCCCCCAAGAACAGAAACAATAAGAACAGAAATTCGGTTTTGTGGGATTTTTTTGGGGTCCCATGCAGACTTCTTTGCAGGTCAGGGCCCGCCCAGTTTTGTTGCGAGGCTGAACTCAAAAAGTCTGAGGTCAAGGTCTGCAGGTCTCCCCCCCCCCACATATATATATATATATACATATGTATATATATGTTATATATTATTATACAGCCGGACTTGTTGTGGCAGACCCACGGGACGCAAGGAGACCATTCCCAAGTGATACTTTACTTGTTGGGTCCAAATACAATTTCATACGGGCATGATGCAACTATATGTTCTACGCTCAACTAGCATTTAAACAAGCATCCGTTGCCAGATATGTGCTCTCCTTTTTTTTTAAAGAGAAAACTATGGTGAATTGAAGTAGGATTGAATATGGACATCATAAATTGAACTCCTACGAGTTAATTTCAATATTTGTTCAACTAAACTGAAATTTGGATTTTAAGCTAACGTGATAAGGACACATGTTTATTTCCAAGTCCAACTAAAGGTCGAATACGCATTCAGATTCAACTCCGAAATACTAAAAGGATAGGTTGGCTTGGCGCGTTTCTTTCCCATGAAAATTACCTCCACGGTTTTCGGTTTGTTCCGTCGATTGCTTATGGGGCTGTACTCTTTGTTTTCGGGCTGTACCTGCAAAAACAGAAAAAATCGGTGTTTTGCTGTGATGGAGGCGGGTTAGATCGGAATGCCGATGATACTGTGGATGGACGAAATCCATTTCGCACCACTTGGAAACCATGGGAAGCCATGGTTGGTTGGTATTTACACGGGAATCAACATTCCAGGGTTTCTTAGGTGGTGCGAGAAGCGGATTTCGTCCATCCACATGTAGATCTGGCTCAAGGGACCCCAACGAATAGGTTGCTTCCACTCGGTTTCCTAAAGCGAGGGGGGAGTAGACATACCCATCTGTTTGTAGGTGCGGGCCTTCGCACGTGAGGGGCTGACTGGCTGGTTGGGTGATCCATGCAACTGGGGTCGCCAAAACAATTTTGTATAGCTGAATAAACAGACAAATCTGAACATTATGTTCGGTGTTCTATGTGTACCTTTCGCCAAACTGTTGCTCTTTGGTTTGTCACTGGGTCAGGCTTAACTTCTTGCTTGGAGATCGGGACCTTGAGACGGTTGTACGGCGCTTTTTTTTCTTCTTCTGTGTATATTGGGATCCCAAGATGCAAAAAAGAACAACTCCCGACCTGCACGCAGGAAAAACACACACCGCCGCGTCAAACAACGAAGGCTTTTGAATCTGAGCCACTGGCAGCTCAAAAGCCTGGTCAACATGCGGCCTGTTTAGTTTTTGCATTATTCGGATCCAAAAGCCCCTTACGTGCATGAGGGCACATACTCACTCAGCCCACGCCCGAAGAAGGTCCGATTTCCGACTGTGACGGATATGTGGGTTTGGATCCTTTTGCCGGATGGTTTCAAAAGGAACCCAAAAGACCCTTCGAGCACAAAAGTCCTTTGCTTAGGTGGTTCCTAAACTCAAAGTTTGCGAATCAATGTCAACTTTTATTGACATTTTGGCCATGAATTTTAATAAAGAACAACCTCCAAAGTGGGTGGTGCCCACAAATCCCAACCTAAATGGTGTCCACCACAGGGTCCCTTATTAAAATTCACACCCAAATATACCTTGCTGGTGCTCAGCAGGGAATGAGTCGGAATGACCCCATAAACCATCCAACTGGTGGTTTGCTTTAAGGGGCATTCCCTACCTATCGCAACAACAAGATGACTTTCTCCAACTATCATTGATCAGGTACCCCATTGGGGGCTTGGTGGATATTTGAAGCCCAGTTCCTTTTGAAACAACTGGGGAAGGTACCCCCAATTTGGGGCAAGGTATCCAGCCATCCCTTCCTTCCCTCGGAAAAGAAAATCGACTCGCTGAGGCGCGGTCACATAGCTCAGCGGGACGCCAAAGCTCGGCAGAAGTGTTGGGATACCCTCCCGGTGGTTTTCCATGCTGGGCACTGGTTGTTTTAGAGGCAAAACGAGAAAGACGTGAAAGGAAGCAGAGACCAAGTACAAAAATCAGGGCCCCAGCCGTTGCTCCCTAATCCCTCACATAGGTGGCGCCATAAATCCCCGAGCTTTGAGGTCCATGTCGGGTGCTACTTCCAAGGGACACCCCGAATTTACATAGTTTTGCCGTTACGGAAGATGGCAGAGGAAGCACTCGGTGGTTCACATAGATTGCGAGTGGTCCCAAATCCCTATTTTGACACGCACCCATACGGGTGTGTTTTTCTTTCGGTGGTTTTCCTTTAAGCTTCCCTTTAACCACACAAGCTTACCGAGCCTCAAATCAAGACGGCTAATTTGTCTTGCCTTCGGCCGGTGGACGAGGAGGGAGGCCACAGCCACTGCTTGGTATCTCTTTCGTTTCAGCGAAGCGACCTCTTTGGACAAGGCCCCAACCCGGGTCCTTGTGAGTTCTGGTTACCATCCTACCTTTCAGTTACCAGCTGTGCGCGCGCTCAACGGAGACATGGCTCTGTAACCCCAAACTGTCGAACTGTTTTTGGTGAATCAACGGCTAAAAGCTGCGGCAAGCGCCCCATCTGTTGAATTTTGAGCACCCTCACGTTGATGGCCGGGTCATTGGGTTGATCTGAAGACCACATTGTGTGGTTGCTTTGGAGGTGCACCCAATCGGGGGTTGCTGATTGAAAGTGAAGCCAAGTTGGGACGCCATTTGGAAGGTCCGAATTTGATACAACCGAAGCATACCCTACTGTGGATAGACAAAATCCTGCGCCCCCTAAGAAACACTGGAATGATGATGCCCCGGTAAATGCCAACAAACGTCGTGGGGTTTCAACCATGGTTTTCAATTTCGTGGCGCGAGATCCGTTCTCGCAACCATCCACAGCATGCCAGCGGCTATGCGCGCCAATTCAACGCCGAAGCAGATGGATAAGCCGATGGAAGATCAGCGTGGCAGTTTCTGGCCATCTAAGAGGCCTAATGTTGACCCCACAGAAAATTCCAACCCACCAAGTTTATTGGCCCCTCCAAGAGTGGTCTGATTCCCCACATTTCACCCAGGGAGAAACGCCCCCGAATAATAAACTGGGGTTGATGAATATGGGGTCAACTCTAGGCTTCTATCGAATTGGACCGCCCCAAATTGTTGTTTCTCTCTCGCAGATTCCCAAACCGAAAATTCTTGAGTACCCTCAACAACAACCATGACACGTTTGAAGCATTAAGCCATCTAGAACCGTTTCAAGCATCCCCCATTTTGGGGTTCGCCCTTTCCCTTCCTCCCTTCCTCCCTTCCTCCCGTGCATGCATGGCCCTTGAGGAGCAGGTTGTCAGAGAGAGAGAGAGAGAGAGAAACACCCAGTGTTCAGGTATCACTGCTTCCTGTAGAGGGTAAATGGAACCCCCTCCTAACCACCAAACCAATCCAATCCACACCACCAATTAGCGGGAAACTGATGGGTGATGCTTTGTGGTGGCTTTGGGTACCCTCCTGTCCACCAATTAACATGTAACCCACCAGAGAATTGATCCACTTTGAAGGAGCATGGTCCAATCCACCCCGAAAAGTTCCATGCCGGACAAGAGGGTGCCCTCAGAGAGTTCTGGTCTGTCCTGATTGCTTCTTGGGGTACCCTCCCTTACCTCTTAAAAACACAACTTTTCAACTTTTTGGGTAACATGGGCTATATGTCTGTAAAAGATTAACTTCCCCAGGGCTTGGAGTTTTAAGGGGTAAGCTCCCTTGGCTGGTTCGCCCTTGGTCCAAACCACCCAGTTGGAGGGAAGCCGAGTTTTTTAGACCGCTGGCCTCTGAGGCCCCGCGAACATCCCCGCGAGGAGGTTCGGGTTTTCGGATTTTCGGAGTTCGCCGGGGCGAGCTTGGGGTGGAGGGAATTGCTTGGAATGGCAGCACCAGGTTCATCCGCAAATCCTGGAGAAAAGTGAAGTCTAAGAATTGTGCACATCTCAGAAAGAATCAAGAGGTGTATCCTGGGTTCTCATTTCAGGGTGTAGCGCGGTTTCAATTTAAATCCGTTCGCACGAACGTCGGGTTCAAGGCCGCAGGTTTCGGATCGGCCGGGAAGAAGCTGAGCTCGTGCGTGGGGCCAAAGGAGTTGTTGGGCCAAATACTATGTACCCCAGCCTTCCAGGGGGTCGACGGGGCGCGTTCGCACTTAGCACTGAGTCGCTTGACCAAGGAAGGGCATGGAGTTCTTGGGGTTAGCTATTGAAAGCTAGGAGCTGGCTGCACTGCAGTTCTACTTGCAGCGAGTTGAAGTCCCAATAGCAGCTGTGGGGTCGATCCGCTGGGCGACACGTCAATCCGGTTTGTCGGGCGATGGTCGTCGGGACCTTCAGCACCAGGGTCCCACCCACTGCTTCTTGGACAGTACTCGGCATTTTGGGCGTGGGAACAATTGGTAGTTCGTATTTTGGATACGGTTCTCAGCTGGTGACGTGGTTTTGCTTGTCGGGGGCTTCCCTCCAGGCGATCCGATCCGGTCAACTTGGGGTTATCAAACCGTCCGGTTTTCCAGGAGGCGTTCAAGGCAGCCTTTACCATCTGTGTCTCTCCTTTTTTGTTTGTTTGTTTGTGTGTGTGTTTGGTTTAAGCAGAATTCAATAGCATTTCAATTTCTGTCATGCGTTTGGTTGGGTTTCAAGGTTGCGAGGAGGGCAATTCCGGCTGCTGGTGTGGAGTGCAGATATCGAGCCTCTAGATGCGAAGATTCCATGGAAGCTCCTAGTGCCCCGACATGGCAGACTTGGTTCGTCTCAGGGAGTGGATCGCCAGTCTCCGTGCCCCTTGTTGTGCCAGTTGAGTGGCATCCTTCTTCCCTTTGAGTTTGTTTAGTTCCAAAGTGAACTTTATGGCTATGCGGTAACATATCTTTGGACTTTAACTTTGTGGTTGAAGCTTTGCGGATGTTCCGACTTGGACCCACAAAAAGTTCGAAGCTTTTGGGAGAAGGGTCGCTACAGCAACCAAGTGAAATGGTTTGGTTTTTCCACCGGGAGCAGAGGCTTCAGCTTTGCGCAAGGACTCGACCCGGAGGAAGCTTTTTGCCAACCAGGCGAGGGCAAGGGTTGACAGTTCTTCCGCGGCACATGCGCGGTAAACTTTGGTGGCTCCCAGCAATCCCCTTAGCTTTTTAGCCTTTTAGTGTTTAGTGGTGGTTTCCATTTAAACCACTACATGTTAGTCACTTTTAGCAGGGGATCTGAGGGCAGCCCAGAAATGACCACCCAAAGCTTGGGGGATCTCTAAGCAACTGGGCCACTGGCAACGCTTTTTCTTGGAAGCTGACACCCGTTGCTTTGCTGGAACATGGGCTCATGTCGCGACCGTCTTTTTATCTTTCGGCGGGAATTTCCTGGCTGCCGGCTGCGCATAAGCGGTGAGGAACTCCCAGACCTGCCGAGGCCCCAATAGTGGGTACTGTTGACTCCGGAATCTAAGCAGAACCCGTCCCCTACATGATACGACGCTCCCTCAAAAGTGATGAATCTTAACTAAACAGGGACACCCCCCCAATGAATATACCAGGGGTTTATCAATTTGGGGTCCCATATTTTGTGACCATGCAAATCTGTCTTTTTCCCCACATCTCGGATCGGTGTCTTCATCAACCATAGCGATGATGGAGCAACCAGTGAAGCTTGTTGCAAGGGACCACGGTTTATCGTTTGAGAACTGGCTGGCACCCTTGTAGCCAATAGGGTTGGGCAGTTTTCATCAGTCTCTTCCACGCTTGCAGGAAGCAGTTTTTCGGCTTGTTTCTACCAGGGCCACTGAGCAACTGTGTCGTGGTTTCTGCACGTGTTGCTTCCCCCTTCTTTTTGACGGCGCGGGCATGACGGAACTGGGAGGTGCTCTTGTCAGGCGCTTGAGTGCAACTTGTTGCTCCCTCGTTCCTCTTCCTTTTTGGCTTCCTTTTCTCTTCCTGCCTTTTGTCTGGGAAAAGTTCACAACTGGGCCACAACATAATTATCAGAAAGGTTATGCACCCCATGGTTCCCTTCAGAATCCTATATTTGTGGCCCTCGGGCTCGACCTTAAGTTTCTCAGCCTTTTGGACGTAGGCTATGTTTCAACCCAGTAGCAACAGTTCCCAGCTGTTGTACCCTTCTTGCTGAGTGGCTGGAATGCCCACGAACCCATCTGTCCTCCAACCCTGCCATGGACCGACAGGTCCCTTAAGGCAAACTGGATTTCAGGAACCTCCAGTCAAGTTGCCACCTACTTGCCTTCCGGTGGGAAGCCACAAGGAAACCTTAGCGAAACCATCAGGAAACCATGGGGGAACCGCAGAGAAACCACTGGGCAATGAGCTCGAAACCGCAGGGAAGCCATACAGGACCCCCATAGCGAAACCACAAGGAAACCACCACGAAACCATAGGGAGACCCACAGGAAAACTGCTGCTAGGTCCCCCAGTAGTGCCTAGGCTGGGAAACCTTCGCATTGGACCCGCAGAACTTTGGATCTCAAGGCTTTGGAGCCGTCAGAGTCAGATTGGTACCATGGGTCTGTGGCGGGAAGCCATGATGCGGTTTTGGTTGTTCCCTGACCCTGAAGGAAAGACCACACTCCGTTCCAACCAAAAAGGGCTGTTCAACAAAAGTTTTTTTTTGCTTACTTCTTCTATTTTTTCCGGGAACTTTCCTAGGGTTCCCCCTTACCAGCCTTGAAAAGCAGGCTACCGGCCGCATGAACAGAAGAAAATAATGAAACAGAGAGAGCACCAATCAACTTCAAACAGCAAGAAGCACAAGCTTTCATCTGAATGCCAGTTTTCCCCAGGCTAGGTCCCCCAATAGTGCCCTTGCTCAACCCTTTTTTTGTTGGGAGGGTTCCCGTACTAGTAGACTACAGAAAAAAGAAACCGGTACCCTGATTCTAACCTCTCTACTGGAGGACCTACGTAGACAAACAATAGTTTCAACTTTCAACCATGGTTTCGTAGGTGGTTCGAACGGATTTGGGTAGTACCTCTTGTCTACCTAAGGTAAATATTTGTTCGACATTTACCTAAGGTTTCTTCAAACCAATGGCTCCGCGCGGAGCACGTTTTGGTCCGTTTGCGACGCCGCAGGAGCCGGGCCCCACGGTGCAGTGGCGGCGCAGCAGCGCCTCAGGCGGGTTGACGAATGGACCGGTCTGACCGGATCGGGTCTTCCCCTTTGTTGGCCTCTTTTCCCAACGTTTAGCCCTTTTTGGGGATTTCACCGTTTTTAGTGTGTGTGTGTGTTCCCATGTTTTGTCAGTTGTCCCCTTTGGGGGATTTATACAACCATTTCTTTTTTTTGTGTGTGTGTGTGTGGGTGTGTGGGTGTGTGGGTGTGTGGGTGTGGGTGTGTGTGTGTGTGTGTGTGTGTGTGTGTGTGTGTGTGTGTGTGTGTGTGTGTGTGTGTGTGTGTGTGTGTGTGTGTGTGTGTGTGTGTGTGTGTGTGTGTGTGTGTGTGTGTGTGTGTGTGTGTGTGTGTGTGTGTGTGTGTGTGTGTGTGTGTGTGTGTGTGTGTGTGTGTGTGTGTGTGTGTTTGTGTGTGTGTGTGTGTGTGTGTTTGTGCCATGTTTTTCGTCAGTTTTCTTCCAATGCGTGGCAGCATGTTTTTTTGAGCAGCGGGCCCGCAAGGCGATCGCCTTTTTAGCTTCAGGTCCTTTAGGCAGTGGCTTTTTTTAAGCAGCCGTCGTTTGGGCCAAAGAGAAATGATGTGGCCCTTACTTGGTTTGGAGTTGGAGTTGGACGGGTTTTGTGCTTCCTGTAGAGGGCAAATGGGTTTCCCCCCCTCCTTAACCACCAAACCAATCCAATCCAGACTGCCAATCAGAGGGAAGCTGATGGGTAATGCTTTAGGTGGCTTTGGGTACCCTCCTGTCCACCAGTTAACATGTAACCCACCATTGGTCCACTTTAAAGGGCCATGGTCCAATCCAGGACCCCGAAACGACTCGTTCCATGCTAGTGGGGAAGAGGGTGCCCTCCCTTGTTTGGGTCGGTCCTGATTGCTGCTTAGGGTACCCTACGTTCAGGTTCGCCCTACTTGGTGTGGGTTGGTGGTTTGGGCGAGTGCTTTTCGGTTGCCATGTGGGTCGTTTTCGTGGCTCTTGTGTGGGGGTATGTGTTTTTGGAGGGTACTCTTTTCACCTTGGTTTAAACGGCACCACCAGCAGTTCCGGGAATCCGCCCAATAAGGGGACCCCCAAGGCCCGCATACCCGCTAGTTTTTGGGGGGCGTTTCCCTTCGATGGCTGGAGCAGTGGCGATGAACTATTTGCGGCCCGGCCAAGGGCGCTTCCAAGCGGCCACTAAGTGGTGCCCGTGTTGCCTCATTTGTCTTTGGGCGAGGTCTCCATTTGACATATCAGCGAAACTGGAGACTGGAGCGGGCTGAGAGTCCAGAGACGGCCACTTGGGAATCACCAGGTTTGATCTTTATGAATCCTTTGACAGGTTTGATTTCTGAGCAGAGAAGGAAGCTTCCCCCTTCGGCACTGTTTTGATTTCGGATCTGACTTACAGAGCACCTTCCTTTTGCTTAAGAATGCAGTTGTACTTTTTCCCTATCTTGCTTTTAAACATCTTCGATTTCAGTACTGGACATATCTTGTCTCATGTTTTCCGGGGGGCAAAAAAAAGCAATGGAAGGAACCCTCCGGTAGGCCGCGTTCAAAACGCCTTCCACTCCCAGCTCCGCGGGGTTTACCCGAGACGATTTCGAAAGGCGAGGGAGACGAGACCGGCGCCTCCGCCGGGCAGCCGAGGGCTGGGCTCGAGAGCCTCTTTGTTTATGGCGCGGGCGTTTGTTTTCTTCTTTTGTTTCCCTGTTTGTTTCCCATTTTTTTGTTTGTTTCTTCTTCTTTTTCCCGAAAGCATGGCGAAGGGTTCTTCCGCTGGGTTCACTTGAGTTGTTCTCATGAGAGTCATTACAAGGTGTCATTGCAAGAAATCATCATCATGAAAGTCATTGCGAGGAGTCATTGCAAGGAGTCATTGCAAGGAGTCATTGCAAGGAGTCATGGCAAGGAGTCATTGCAAGGAGTCATGGCGAGGAGTCATGGCAAGGAGTCATTGCAAGGAGTCATTGCAAGGAGTCATTGCAAGGAGTCATTGCAAGGAGTCATTGCAAGGAGTCATTGCAAGGAGTCATGGCAAGGATTGCAGCTTGCACTTGAATCCTTGCACTTGCAACTTGCACTTGACTCCTTGCACTTGCAACTTGCACTTGACTCCATGCACTTGCAACTTGCACTTGACTCCATGCACTTGGCTCCTTGCACTTGGCTCCTTGCACTTGGCTCCTTGCACTTGGCCCCTTGCACTTGCAACTTGCACTTAACTCCGTGCACTTGCGACTTGCACTTGACTCCATGCACTTGGCTCCTTGCAACTTGCAATGGCTCTCATGACTCCTTGCAATGACTCCTTGCAATGACTCCTTGCAATGACTCCTTGCAATGACTCCTTGCAATGACTCCTTGCAATGACTCCTTGCAATGACTCCTTGCAATGACTCCTTGCAATGACTCCTTGCAATGACTCCTTGAAACAAGCAAGGAGTCAAGTGCAAGTTGCAAGTGCAAGGAGTCAAGTGCAATTGACTTGCGAGGAGTTAAAATCTCTTCTTAGGGCGGCGGGGTAGTGCCGACGACACTACACGAAAATCGACCCTCTGCGGGGATCGGCGTGGTCGAGGTGCAAAAACCCATGGTTTTTTGCGATTTCTGCGGTGCTGATCGGCGTGGTCGGAGGTGGGTGGTTTTTTGCGACTGTCTTCGGGTTGTCTCGTGGTTCGCGCGCCTGCTCCCGGAACCGGCGGGTCGCGGGTTCGATTCCTCCCTGGTCCGCGGGCGGGCGTCGCAAGATGCAACTTGCATTTTAAAGCAACTTGCGCAGAGCAACTTGCGCAGAGCAAGTTGCACAGAGCAACTTGCGCAGACCAACTTGCACCGACCAGTTTGCGCAGAGCGCCTTGCCTAGAGCAACTTGCGCAGAGCAACTTACGCAGAGCAACTTGCACAGAGCAACTTGCACAGAGCAGCTTGCACAGAGCAACTTGCAGGGAGCGCAATTTGCACAGAGCAACTTGCAGGGAGCCACTTGCAGGGACCAACTTGCCGGAGCAACTTGCGCGGAGCAACTTGCGCAGAGCAACTTGCACAGTGCAACTTGCGTAGAGCAACTTGCGCAGACCAACTTGCACCGACCAGTTTGCGCAGAGCACCTTGCCTGGTGCTGTCTCGCGCTTGCTTCACGAATGCTTCGTGTAGGGAAAAAGAACGCATCCTGCAGCGTTGGGCCGACCTCGCTTGCGATGTTCTGCTTTCGGGCCAACCGTGGTCTAGTTTACGTTTTCTACGCAGAGTCGTGCTGGGCCCTGGTGTTTCCCTTCTTTTTGTTTTGTTCCGGGTTAGCAGTTTAGTGGTTCTTTGGATGGAGGAAATCTGCAAATACCAACAACCAATGGTTTCAAGCGATGCTTTCCAAGTGGCGCGAACGGATTTGGTCCACAGGTCGGACAAGTCTAGACTTGCTTTTCGGCCGGAAGTGAGTGGATTTGCGGTTGAAGACGAGCGATTTCTTGCAGAGGAAAACCTGACCACAAGGGGGGTCCATGTTGAGAGGATCTGGCCGCGCCGAGTCTGCTCAGAGCTCTCTATGGGCGCTTTCCATGCCCATAGTTGAAACAACTACGCCGCGTGATGGAAAATTCATGGGGTGGCTATGTTCTTTTGTTCTTCCCCAGACCCTCTGTTCAGCACGTATGTTTGCCAATTGTACTATACAGTTTTTTGGTTTTTCTTGCTTGTGTAATCCCCGGGTGTGAGGCTGAAACGCAACTCTGTTCCGCGCCCAGTGGCTTGTACCTACCACCCCGTTGCAGACCTCTTTTCAATTTAGCTTCCTGCTCTTTAAAGCAGCAGATGTGGAAGATGCTGTCCGACTTGGCCAGTAGCACAAGGAGATCTTTCGAGACCAAAAACTGCTAAAATTGTGGAATTGTTCGATTGAAGCGTTACCACCGGTCTGGAGACTCGCCAGCAACCTACCGCGAGTGCATGCCGCGGTTGCAAGATCAGAAATCCTGTTGTGGCTTCTATTTGGAGAATGTATCTAGACTCGAAGATCGTGCGAACGCGGTCTATTGGCATCCAAGTGAACGAAGAGGGCCGCTTCGAAGCTTGCTCCCCTGTTTGGCGCTGCTAAGCCATGGGGGGGGGTAACCCAGCCAATCAGCCGGGCACTGACCTTTGGGCACCCTTTGAAATTGCTCAGAAAGCTGATTGCTCTCAAACCGTCGGTGTGTCTCAAATAGGTGACCCCCCAAAATGGCCGTGTTCCTCCAGTTTTCCTTGAAAGGACCATCACTTGTTGTGCAGGTGTCCCTCTTAAATCGGAGATGAGTCACAATCAAAACCCGGGTAGTTGGAGGGTAAGGGACAATCCCAGCCATAGATGGGTGCGGATATCCGCCTTTTGAGAATTCTTTACATGGTTCTGGGTAGACCATATTTATAATCGGTTTTGATTACGACTCTTGTTCAGAACCAACAAATGCCTATTTGTTGGGCAGGTGTCCCACTGGATCATGGTTGTTGCTGGGAAACATTTTACATTTTTGCTTATTGTGGTTTAGTGGGAAATCCCCACTTAACTGCTAAGATGTAATTTTTTGGCTCCCCTTCCAACGTCAACCAAGTAATGGCACCTTGGTATTTGGCGGTTTGCCCCAGAGCAAACTGCTGGACAAAGGCCACGGACCGCCTTTCAGGCGGTGCCGGTGCTCGTGCAAGAGCTGGTCCGGCTCCGCATGCAGTTGGACGAGGAGTCTCCGACGGCGCACTTGCGTCCCGTGCAACGTTGGAGTTCGCCTTTTCGAGAAGGGGAGAAGCCGCGAAACCGATGGCAAACAAATATGCTCATCTTTTTGTTTGAGGCTACCCTTGTTGAAGTTGGTCTGAAGGGAACGCAAAAGGGAAACACCGAAGCCATTTTTGGGTCCCTCTATCTTGACTATAATATGTATATATATATACAGCATATGTATATATATAATATACAGCATATATATATATGCATATTATAGACGAGTTATATATGGAGAGTCAGAAAGTCTTCGATTTTTCAGTCCCGCGGTGTGGCCATGCTTTGTGGAGCGTTGACTTAACACAGACCCCCGACCTTGCCCGATTTTTTTACTGCAAAAGGCCAAGCAAGTCTTTTGAGAGCTTTGACTGGGTTCCAGCTGCCTGTGGGTTTGCTACCCCTCACCCCATTTCCAACCGGGTGGTTTTAGGCATTTTGTTGATTCCCATTGCTCCAGGTATATGCGTGAGGGCCTATAAACCAGTTTTACAACCGTAGACTCAAAAGTCAGTGGGTTTCGGGCCTGCTCGAGTGAGTTTTCTTTGCGGGGGATGGTGAATGGGGAAAGTATAGGAAACTCCGTGTCCAACTGTCACCTCTCGCCCTAGTTACCTCTATACTTCTGCTTGCTGAATCCTTGTAGAATGGAGATCTTCGAAATATCCGTACACATATATATATAAGCCAACAGTCTCAGCAAGCGAGGCAACAAACCACCCGAAAAGAGTCCAAGTGATGAGTTTAAAGTAAGCCGCAAGAAGTCAAGGAAGCCAACATACTGTGGACGAAATCCGTGCGCACCACAACAACTAGGTCCCCCAGTAGTGCCCTTTGACCAACTTTTTTGGGGGAGGGTTTAAAATAGACTACATAAAAAAGGATACCCTCATTCAAACCTCTCTACTGGAGGACCTAGACAAGAAACCCTGGAATGATTCGATTCACAAGCAATAGTTTCAACCATGGTTTCGTAGGTGGTTCGAACGGATGTCGGTACTACCTCATTGTCTATTCTGCGGGTTTGAATCGATGTCGGGGTCGATTTTTGTTTTTTTGTTGGAACCAACAGTGAACAACCCCTCCCCGCCCGAGACAACCCCAGACGAGCAAAGTGAACCTGGACCCTTGGGCGAAGCCCAGGAGCGGAGCATCTCCCAGGGCCTGGTGGCAGCTGGCCCAGTGTCTCCACTTCCGCCGGGCCCAATTTTCTTTTTCTTCCAAAAGCAAAGGCCCGGTGGCTCGGAGGAGCCTTTTGCATCTGGTCCTGGCAAAATTAGAGTTTTGTTGTTTTTTGTTTTTTTTGTTTTTTTCCCCCTCGCGCTCACGGCAAACTCTCTTTGGTTGGCTTGTTTCCATGTCTCGCGCCGGCGAGCAGCATTTTGCGCCAGCCGGTGCCCCCGTCTTCCCCACCGGGCACAGAGAACAAAGCAAAACGGAAGCCGCCCCGAACTCCCCGGAGATTTTGGCAAAGTGAATCTGTTAGACAAGCTGCCAGGTGAGAGTTTTACTGTTGGCTTCATGTAGTCCCAGGTGGACATATTTCTATAAGAAGGCCCGGGAAGCCACTGCTTCGAGCTTCTTCGGCGCGACCGGAGGTCGGCGGTGGCATTCGCCCGTTGCTATCTCTTGTGGTTGTAGGCCCTCCGTTGCTTCACCTGAGGCCGCGAGAAAAAAAAAGGCGGCCAAACGGAAAGGAGGACCGCCGCCAATGTGCAAAATGAGCGCCGATTTCGATCGACGCCAATTTACGGTGAGCTAACCCATGATGATAATTTGTTACAGGATCCACTATTTCCGGTGCGTTTTCGTTTCGTGGATGTGTAGCCGATGTTTCAAAGCTGGCATTTCTGGCTGATAGTTGGAGGGTACCCGATGTTCGGAATCGTTTTTTTTTCTTTTTCCAGGAACGACAGGCCAACCCTTTAGCCCGGCCCGTCCAAATGGTCTCGGCTTCGGAAACTTCGCGCGCTCGGCTCAGGCGGAGCGCGCGAATTTGCGCTCCCAGGCGCCGCATTCTGCGTGTCCGGTTGGGAGGGACACTTTAAGATGGAGAACATCCATCTCGGGGGGTTCCTTCATTTCAGGAAGATTAGTAGGGGGCAGTCCCAGCCAGAAGTAGTTGCGGATATCCGCCTTCTTAATTCTTTACATGGTTCTGGGTAGACCATTTTGATTGTGACTCATTTGAAGGCACACCGAAATGAAGAGCTTTAATAGGGACCCACCTGCAAAGTGGTTAGTGGACATGAGTCTCCGAGGATCCCCAAACTTAGTTCAGAGCCAAGATGGAAAAGATCGTGCAACCTATTTCGCCCCACCGACGGGACATCGGTTTGAACCTGACGCAGTGTTTTCATCATTCGCCAAGCAACAGCATGAGACTTTCATGGAGGTTGCAATGCTATGTTTGTGGAGGGAAGGGTACATCGGGCCATTCACGACAGGATCTCGACCCTGAATGGTTCCATTCAGAAAGTCCAAGTATGCCAAACAACTTAAAGCATGGCACGTCATCCAAAACCAAGCTTTGGACACCCCCACCTCTCCCGGCCTATGGTTCAGGTTGGGGGAAGGGTGCTTCGGTTCCAGCAGCGAAACCGCGAGAAAGAAAAGCCATGGCTCAAGACGGGACAGCCAATTCTCAGGTCCATTTACCGGGTAAAGCTTCAGTGGTAACCAAGGGAACCCTTTGAAAACAAAAGGAGCAGAGCCGGTTCCCTATTCCCGATTTCTCCAAATACCCACTTGTTCTAGGGTATGTTTTTTGGAAACCTGGTTTTTCAAGGTCGACATGATACCCTAAAACAAGGCCGGGTATTTGGAGTCAAGGGTACTATGAGGGCTGGCAACTGGGATCCACGGGGATGTGCAAGCCAAGGGAGTCCTTGGCGAGTCGCGTGGGGACCCTGGATGAATGAACCCCAGTTGAGTCACGTGCTCAAAACCGATTCGGGTAGATGAAGGTGAGCAAGGGACGATCCCAGCCAGAAATAGCGGCGGATATCCGCCTTCTAAAGTCTTGAAGCATGGTTCTGGGTAGACCATTTTGATACCGGGTTTTGATTGGGACTCAGTTTATTCTAGGGGGTGTCCCCGGTTTGGTGGAGAGTCAGACCACTTTTGGAGGGGAACACCCCCAGATGAACACACTGGGGTTGTTTCATATGGGGTCAACATTAAACAACATGTCTGGTTCCTGCGGCTGATTTCCTGAATCCGAGGTCATCGTTTGACCTACATTGAAGCGGCAGCCCGATTTGTTTTTTGCGGTTCCTTGGTAAGCGAGTTGCCTTTTTGTTCTTTCTCCGGTGTCCTCACATCCTCTTTCCTTGTGCCAGACTGGCACTGGGGAAGTCAAGCGCATTTGCTTCAACACAAGGAATCCCGGTCAAGATCTTCCAGCTACCAGGTATTTGTTCCGCAAATCACTTGACAACTAACTATCGACTTCTTAAGGTACGAGTATGCAAAACAAGAATGGGTCCCCAGATTCAGTTTCTTGTCATATCACTGGAAAGGGAGTTTATCACTGGGCATATTTTCTCATTCTTTCCAGGGGGCGTATTCGCAAGTGGAACTTAAGGAGCCTGAGCACAAAACTTGCTGGTTCTCAGCGGGGGATGATAATTGGAATGACCCCGAGAAAACCTATCCATCCCATGTTTTCCTGCTGAATCCCCAAAACCGGTTCATTCCCAGCACCTGGACTTGGCCATTCCCCCACCTATCGCACCAGCAAGCTATGTTTTGCTTAGCTTATTTTACCTTTTTAGTTGGGTAGTTTCCATTCATTGCAAAAGTTCAACTTCCAGATCTGAGAACGGACAGCCCAGTTCAGATATCCACTTGCTTTTTCATGAGAACATATGTCCATGAAATCGATTCCCTTGAAACCAGGGAGCAAATGGAAGCCTAGGTACCCCAGTAGTGCCCTTTACCCTTTTTTGGGGGAGGGTTCCCCTACTGAAATAGACGACCGAAAAATGTTGGTACCCTTATTCTATCCTCTCGACTGGAGGACATGGTATGCATGGTGGGTTTCTCTCTCTCTATATATATATATATATTATAGGAACTTCCCTCGGGGTTTCCCATCAAGAGAGCCACCCCGTTTGCTTCTCGCCTTTGCGAAGCACGAGACCACGTGTTCGTGTTCGCAGATTCGGCTCGGGGCAGCTCTTGCAGGTGTGCAAGGCGCAGAACGAGCTCGAGGCAGCTCGATCTGCTTTCGGTTGCTCCGATCCCTTGCGAAGGCTTGGGGCCCTCCCACCAACTAACACGGGAAGGCCTTTTCGAAGGGTACTGATGTGTTTCCCGTTGATACTTCGTTCGTGTTGCACCATGGGGGCCATGCAAGGTTTGGATGCTTTGGTTCGAGGTTTGGCGGTGCGTTCGTGCGACTTGGATGGTCAACCCATGTCAGGTAAGTGGGTAGTAACCATGGTTGTAAGGGGACTAACCTTGCTTGCTTGTCTTACAACCATAGTTATAACCTAAGTCCGTTGAAGATCCAAGTAGTTCCTTCAGCACAAAGTGAATCGGAAGCAGGCCAACATGGCAAGTGTTGCCAGGATAGGTTGAGTATACCCATCTTCTTTTCGATCTAGAGGCTTGGCAAGTGGTGGTTAAAGGTGACTAGTGACTCGGCAGTTGGGCAAATACCCCCCATCTATCCGTTCGGAGGGTCCATGTCCGCAACTCGCTTCAAAGGATTGAACTTTTCCGGCGCCTTCTTTGGCACGTGCCCCGTCCCCGAGAATGGGGAGGAGGGGGGGGGCCAGTCCCGTGCCTATGTTTGATGGTATGCGTGGTCCTCAGGGTCCTTCCGAGCCTTCCCAGTTGGTTTCCTTCGAGCGCAAAGCCAACCCCCAAGCCCTAGAACAAGAAAAGGAACCCTTCGCACAAATCCCAGGCATTTGCAGCCAGATTTTCCCTACGCAAAAAAAGAAAAAACACATACCCGGACACCAGACAAAAGACCCAAATGGCCAGACCCCTTAGAACCCCCAAAAAAGTTCCAGATCCGATTTGGATCTCGGCGTGTTTTCTGCACCTCGACAGGCCTTCCGCGAGAACCACAAGCATGTCTTGCTCGCAGGAAATCCCGGAGCCAAGGGTTAGGGCGAGAGCAGAAGGGTTAATGTTGACCCCATAGTCAGTCCCCTTTTCTTCGAAGGGGGGTGTCAACCTGGGTTTACCTTGTCTAAGCAGAACCCCTCCTATTCAGAGGGCTTTACAAAAGTGTGCTTTATCCATGTGCTTTTGCTTGAAACCCAAGGTCAAGCATGTACAAATGGGAAGGCATGGTACCCCTCTGGTACATATGATGATCTTGCGTTGTACTGTCGTTGGTTAAATGCTTCAAGGGCACCATTCTCCCCATACCGAACAAGAGTTCTGGAGGGGTCCATTTATGAGTGTACAACCTTGGACGTTATGGCTCTCCCGACACCAGCTGCATGTCCAAACACGATATGGTGGTTGTGCTGTTGGTTTCCCTTTATACAACCCATCAAAGACAAATACCCTCAAAAAAGGTTTCCTCTTTTTTTTCTGGTGTTGCACATCTGTTTGTTGCGTTTTCACTTTGATTTGTGTTTGTTTTTATTTAACAGGCAACCCACAATCGACGCACATGGGATGTGCTGGGCTGTCGCATCACCTTAAGCCCGACTTTTCTTTTTTTTGTTACGGGCAAATGTAAGGGCAAAATATGGGGGGGAGGTCATTTTGTGTGTGTGTGTGTATCCTTTTGGGGTGGTTTTGAAAGGGAAACCAACAGAAAAACCCACTATTCGTTGGGCGCCCTATTTTAAGAGACGCCCATATCCTGAACCTTGTACATGGCCACCGTGAGGTTGGTCCTATCTTCCCCAACTCTCAGCACCCTGCAGACCCTGCTCTGAAGGGAAAAAACATTTCAAGGGTGGTTGCAGTGTAATGTTTGCCCGGGATTTGTCCACGCCATTTTGTTGGAAAGGGGTTGAGTGCGGAATCATCATAGCCCTCCCTTCGCAAAAATACTGAGGGGGGGGACCTAAATTACGTACAGAGATTCTCGGGTTTTCCCCCACCCCCCTTTCGTGACTGCGGAGGGTATGGATTGGACCGGGGCTTGGGCATTGAGCTCAGGCAGGCGCCAAACAAAGCCCTTTGGAGAAGCCCCGGCCCTTGTTGGACAAGTCCCAAGCCGAATTTTAAGTTTGGCTGGCTCAAACATACCCAACATTGGCGCCTTGACATAGAAAGACGAACACCTACATACTCGTGTTGAGAATGAACCGGTTTTGGGGATTCCAACGTAAAGGAAGCCACAAGGGAAATAGGGGTCATTCCATTTCTTATTCCCTGCCTATCGAACCAGTAAGATAATACTGTGGATGGACAGAATCCTGCACCACTTAAGGAGCCCTGATGGTTTTTCTGCAAACATATCAATAAACGATGGTTTCAACCATGGTTTCCAAGTGGTGCGAGAAGCGGATTTCGCAGCCATCCGCAGGGGACGTGGAAATTCGGTTGCCGCGTCCGAGGGCATGGAACAGCTGGCGATCCAGCTGGGCAAAGCCAAGGAGCGCGAGGTGGACGCCAAACAATTTGGCCCGTGGGCTGTTTTTCCCGCTCGCCGTGTTTTTATTTTTTTCTTTTTCCGAGGATTTGGATGCCCCCCCCCCAAAAAAAAATGGAAGCAGGGGGGAATCCAGCCACTCGAAATTTGGTTTCGGACTGCCCGGACGTTGTATTGTTGCTCTTCATTTCCTCTGTTAAAACAATATTGAAAAAGCCACCCTGATAGGGATGACCCTTGTTCCCTCTGAATTTGTGGTTGAAACCACAAAACTGGGGTACCCTCAAAAAAAGACACACCCAAAGAGGGATAACCCCCCCAGTGCAAATCCTCGCGTCCCAAAAGAAAGAAGGCAGGATTGACATGTGCGGTCTCGTGGGTTTGAGCCTATTTGGAGCAACACCATTCCAGGCAAAGCAAAAGGAAAGGCATCCACCCTTATATAGGACAAATCCTGGTATAAGTATAAACAAATGGTATATAGGACAATTCCTTATATAGAACACAGTCCAAATTTTGGTATAGGACATCCAGTCTAAGCAGGCTTCCATCTTGTGCTTCTCAGCGCCTGGTGGCATGTTTCCCAGTGGTTTCCCTCCAAACCCGCCATTTTTCTGGTGCATCTTCTTTTTTTTGGGGGGAGGAATCTTAACAAAAAGGAGGGGAAAGATGTTGCGTCCCTCTTACCGGAAGGGCTTGTCTATGCCAGGTCCCCCAGTAGTGCCCTTTACCCTTTTTTAGGGGAGGGTTCCCCTACTAAAATAGACTACAGAAAAAAGGGTTCCCTTATTCTAGCCTCTCTACTGGAGCAGGCATGATGGAAAATTGGATTCCCCTTTTGGTCAACCCAGGCAGATCCCCCCCACAAACCTCTTACGGAAGGCCTTGTCATGGCAAAAGTATTTTGGCCAGGTGCAGGCCGCGCGCATGGAGGCGTCCCTCCAGACCGTGCAGGCGCCATGCGGCGCGACTGCGGCGCGATGCTCGCTTCGCTGTTGGAGTCTCCATAGGTGGGTCACCTGAAAGAAAAATATGGTGGCCCAATGTTGGAATCATGGGCGATTTCCAGGTAAACCTTTGGGAGCGCTCAAAAAAATGCTCTGCCACTCGCGTTTGTTTCCAAAAGTCGCACGTTGCCACGGAGTTGTAGGGTGGCGCTCCGTTGGATAGCGGGGACCCAGTTGACGGGCGGGTTCTAGTAAAGTTCGGGGACGCTGTGTGCACTCGACAACTGTTTGGCGGCAACAGGGTTGGGGATTGCAGAATCTCTGAAACATGTTGTCTGTGGAATCTTCAACCGCCTCTGATCTGGCAAGCATTCAAGTGGTTTGAAAAGCTTTGAACTTGGCTCGAGTATTGGGCCCTTCCTGTTGGCCTTAGGAAGTGCCCAAGTTGTCCCCCTTGTCGAAGGGGAAATCGCGAAAGTTAAGGACGTTGTTCCTTTTTGTTGAAAGCTGAGTTTGTTTCCCTATAGCAGTGTTTCTCCAAATCTGGTTTTGAATGTTTTGAATAGGCCTAGATGAACATGCAATGTTGTATTAAGTTGAGTTTGGTTTGATCATGAATCAGCAACTCACATTGATTCCTCGTCTCAATCTGTGGCGTTCAATTAAGTTATGAAACATTCAATCGAAGTGGACAAGCATCAAGTACAATTTGCATAGGAGTTGCTTTCCACAAATGGAACTGAGTAAGCAATTTAATGGATTTATAGACAGAGATAGAACACTTTGATATCCTAAGCGGAATTCAAAATCAAATGGCATTTAGGACAGGAATTATTTTCATTCCGAATTTGATGTGAGATTGAGATGGATGTTCATTAAAGACTAAATGGAATATGGAGATACTGACGATTCAATGTTTCAAACAACAATCTGAGTAGGGTTTCCTTTAGACACTTTGATTCAGCATTGACATGCACACACATATATATATATATATATACATGTAACATGGACTTCTTTGAAAACAGTTTGGGTTTCAGTTTCAAGTTCCACATTCAATGTGAATTGTGTTTCTAATTTGATGCTAAGCTTGGTTGAATCGGAGTTCGCATAGAGTTAGAGAAGGACATTATTCGGCAAACAATGAGCAAAAAGCATGCATGTCTCTGAATTTGAGCAAGGTGCCTGCATTCTAACTCACTTATCTCGCGCTCTCCTTAATTGAGAGGGTTTCGGAGATTCTTGTACCCATGGTTGAAATAATCAACTTACCGTGAACCCAACATGCAAGCTGCAATGCCGACTTGGTTATAACAGGGGTTTGGTTAAGTCCCCTTGTAATTTCTACCGTGGGTTAAGCATTCACGTCTACCAGTCATGGCCATTCCGCAGATTTTTTTTTAAAAAAAGATCACATTTGCGTTCTCGGGTGTTCCTTTTTGAACTGGATCGAAGTTGTTTGCCCGGGATTCCATGGGACACGTCAGGGATTCGGACCCCATTGGTTCGCCTTTCGGTGTCCCGACAAAAACCGCCTAACAAAAAGCCGCCCCTAACTTTCGACCCCCAAGCTTCATTTTTTTTTGCCCCCCGAGCCATAAATTGAACAACCCGAACACAACATGGAAGTGGAGCTTTGTTTCCTTTAGCTCCCGAGCGGCCCGAGCCCTGTGCTTGGCTCCGATGCAGGCCATGTCCGAGTCCGGGGCGCGGCCCCGAGAGTGAGAAGTCGGCGTTTGCGCCGCGTCTGACATGGCCTGCACATCCGAAGCATCTCGGGTCCCCGGTTTTTGGGGGCCCAGAGATTGGGGTGCCGATTTCCTTTTTGAGAGACACAAGTGAAAAGCCGGAACCCTAAAAAAGGGGCGAGGATCCGTGTGGGGATTCCATAGGTGGAACATTCTTGGCTGGCTTCCGGAGGATTCCCTAAGGGTGCACTCGAAAGATTGAGTGGTTCCCAGTTCCCACCCGTCCGGTTCGGGAGGTTTTCATGGTTGGGAAACATTTTTACATGTTTGCTTATGTTGGTGGAGTGGTTGAAATCCAACCACTTAACTGCTAACAAGTTAAAATGTTGCTTCCCTTCCAACGTCAACCGTGACTTTGGGGGGTGTCTAGTTTTAGCCCACTAGAAGTTAAAGCTTTCGCAGAGGATTTGAGGACAGCCCAGAAAAAGAGACACGCCCAGTCACCCAATCGAGTCCTTTGTTGGATGGTTCAGCAGTTCTTTGTGAGCTTCAAGATGCACCTTGACCCAGGTTGTACCGACCCAAGGCTAGTTTGCATACAGCGGATGGACAAAATCCACTTCGCACCGGTTGGGATGCGGGATTTGGACCATCTACAGTAGGGTAGACTAAATACCAAACATAACCCCAACCGTTTCAAGGGGAGGGGTTCGTGCTTTTTGGGGGTTGGACTCCCGGCTTCTATGTGAGTTGCAATCCGCCAACCGCTAGCGGATGACGGATAGAACCTTGGTTTTCCGGTTCCTTTGCCCTTCCTGGGCTGCCCTTCGTGTTCTTGTGCCGCTGGTTTCGGTTTGTACTGTGGTTTCGGTTGCTACGGAGAAATGGTTGTGGGTCAAAACCAATGGGATCCCATTTTGGTTGGTAGGTGAATTCACCACTCATTTTAGAACCTATCTTAGTGGTTGGAGGATTGAATCGGATGTTCACTGGGGGCTAACCGGGACTTGGCTTTTGACCCATGGCCAAATGTTGCAAACCCATGGTCAGCGCAGTATCCTGCCGTTGGCTTCCATAGACCCAGGATCTAAGTAGAGCCCGTCCCATGAATTTGGGGTGTTCCCTCCAAAAGTGGTCTGAATCCCCACCCACTAAAAGGGGACACCCCCCGATCAAAATTAACTAGGGGTTCTACTTAGATCCGGGGTTAACATTCCCTCACTCGCGGAGTTTTCTGGACTTTCAGATAGGAAGACCACGTGACTGTGTCTCTCCTGATATCTCTTGCCCAGAGCCGACCTTTTGGTCTTTCAGTTGTCCAATGTCGGTCCATTTGTAGTCAAGGTTCCCTTTTTGTTTCTGGGTCCAAACTGGGCAACTGAGTAGTGGCAAGCAGAAAGTGTGGGCTTCTTGTCGCTCATGAACTGACTTCACGCAACCTCGATCTGGGAACCCCTTCGAATGTAGAGGTTTCATAGGAAAACCGCCCTCGGAGCACCTCCGATTCGCCTCCCAAACGCCAAGTAGAGAGGGAAGCTCATGAGTTTCGCCTCGAGCGAGGCATATCCCGGGCGGCAGGATGCGGCTCTTGCGGCCAGGGGTTCCAAGCAGACTTGGGAGTGCATTCGGATGCTGGTGGTAAAGATTCTCCGTGTCTTAAGATTGACTTAGCCGTGATTTTTTTTTGGAACCAAACAATGAGTTGTTTTAACTTGTAGCCGTGACTTGTTTTTTTCCGGAACTGAAAGACAAGTGGTTGATCATGCATTCCATCACCATGCGAGCTCTGTGACCTGAAATCGAGGCTTTTGGGATTTTGAGGTGGAAAACGTTCTTGACGCTTGAAAAAAGGAAACATGCAACCCCAGAATGGCTGTCTTGTCGATTTCTCCTAACAACCCTAGACGGGACTCCCGCAACAGGCATGCTTTATTTTATCTTACACTAAACATGCGGGTGTCCTTTTTTGTGGGGTACTCGTTTTTGGGAGGGTTTAAAGGGACACCTGAAGGAAATCCACCAAAAGAAAGCCACCCACAAGCAGGATCTGAACAGAAGCAACTTTTATGTGAGTCGGGAGAGTTGGCGACAAGTCAACAGACGGCCTCTAGTTGCAGTTGTTCAAACAACCAGCTTGACTCCATGAAGCCATTTGATTTCTAGCGCTGTGGTCCACACGTCCATTTCGCAGACCATCGGTTGCAACCAGCTGCTGGACTTCAATTTGGGTTCACTTCATGAGGCGATTTGCAGGGCTTTTTTTTCACAGACCCGTGCGAGACAGACAATCGTACCGGGTATCGGCCTTTGGTCAGGTGGATGGGTATCGGTTTCATGTTCCGTGTCTTTTGATGGTGATGTTGTCGGGTACGGTTTTTGCGGGACTTAGCAAGCTTGTATGTAAACCCAATAGGCATAGGCCTCAGCGTGGGACAGATTGGTCTTACAATTCGCCGAGTTTGTTCCTTGTCCTAACATAGCTCCAGATGTTAGTTTTCCTGCGATAATGTCCGGTTCTTCCTCGCCACAATCAACACCGGTGTTCCGGGTGTGGTTTCCCATTTCGCCCCTAGGGCTTCAACCCCAGCAAAGCCACCAATCAAAGCCACCAACGCTGCGTAACTTCACTTGCCAAGCGTTCAGGTTGTGTTTGTTTTGTGGTTCTGTTCATTTTTAGTAGGCTGCAAGACAAACAGCCAGTTTTGTTGCAAGCCCGTGCTACTGGTTGTAAAGGTAACTCGAACAAACCTACCCATTCAGCACTTGGCTTGCCACAAAAGCTGCAGGCCTTGCGCGCGGGGTTGCCGGGAAGCCCAGTTGGTAGGATTTGGTCATAGACCGAGGGGATGACCAAAAGAAGAAGAAAAAGGAGCAAAAACCAACAAAAAAACATTTAAAAAAAGAAGAAGAAACAAATACACACACACACACACACACTCAAGTCGGAAGTTTTTGGCTCGCAGAGCCACGCGATCCGATCTCATGGCTTGCTTTAAGTTTGGAGCGTGCGCTTTTGAAAGGGCCCTTGCGAGCCAGGGAGCCCCGATACCATCCTTCTCTTTGGGGAATTCGGGAGATTGATCTCGGGCCCCCAGCAATTGGTGCCCTTGTGAACCCGTTTCTTTTTTGGTTGGGAGGGGAAATCCCTACTAAAATAGACAAGACTGGAAAAAGTTGGTGCCCTTATTCTAACCTCTCAAATCTGGAGGACCTAGTTGATTTGGGGGTTGATCAAAAGCTCCGATGAACATGGGATGACAATTAGGGGAAACCACCAGAAAGATAACGTTCTTTTCAGAAGGCACCAAACTCATCGGGGATCGTCTTTGCAAACTGGGTGCAAAGAACCGCTCCCCCCCAGCGCAACTTGGCATGAGGCTCATCACATACCCAAAACAGGGCCTCAAATCATACATGTCCTGTATGACAAAGATAGGACTCCCTGCCAGAAGGTGCCGAATGTTAAGATTGATCGTTGGTAAGCCTAGACATTGCAAGTGGGGAACAAGGGACACCCCGTAGCTTTGCATGGTTTATGCTTGTTTTACCTTGTTTGTGCTCTTTGCCTCTGGGTTCCGGGCCTGTTTTTCTTGAGAGGACATCGCAACAGCAAGCCATTTCTTTGGCGTGATTTGCCATGCAGCTGAGGTATGTTGAAGCGCAACCTCAAAGACGTGGGATGCAGATGTAGGTTGCACCAGCTCCCCTTTGTTCGGTGGATCTACTTGTCGTTTCGGCCACCATCTCTCCGGCCAAAGAATGAGGCAAACCAAATCTGGCAGAGAGAGATCCCCACTTGGTGGGTTGGACAGCTCAACATGGTTGGCTTCCTCTTGGTTTCCCTTTAAAACCAAGAAAAGTGGTACCCTCAGCACACACTGTCAAGGGAAGACAGGGAAGTGGTAGGGAAGGAATGGCATCTCTCCATCTCTTCCTTCCTTGCCTCGCGGCGCGGAGAGAATGACAGAGAAATGGTACCTTCAGGAGGAAATTGATCTTCCAGGTCAGGTGCGAGGGAGGGCCGTACCCCCAAAAACCAGTACCACAAGCATAGGTCTAATTGTTTGGTTGGTTTGGATTTAAAAAATCGAGGGCCCTGGTTTGGACGGGGTTTATTCCATTTAGGGCCGGTTTGCTTAAAAAATAGAGAGCCCTGGGTTAGATGGGGTTTCTTCCTACCAGGGCCGTCTATTTCTCCAAAAGGCCACCGATTGGAGCACCAGCTCTTCCCTTTGGCTTTCCCACTTGCTGCAGTGCCGCAGGTCCTCTGCGCTGGAAAAGCCCAGCGGAACGGAGGCGCGGGCGTCGCTCTGCTTCGCGGCTTGTGGTTGCCAAAGACTAAGCTTGGTGGCAAGCCCAGACATCCGGTTCAACTTAGCTTTTCGGCCTTTTAGTGTTTAGTGGTAGTTTCCGTTGAACCCACGAAAAGTTAGTCACTGTTGGCGGGGGATCTGAGGGCAGCCCAGTAAACACGAACCAGAAAAACTGGTCCCAGGAAGATGGTCTTCCGGGTGCTGTTTGATTTTGGGAGGGAAGTTTGGAGCGTTTCTCAGAATGGCGGACCCCCTTTTGGTTGAAGGGGAAACCTAAAGGAAACGTTTTCTTCTTTTTTTTTTGGGGGGGGGGGCACGATTTTAAGAAATCCCATTCATAGTTTATCAGACGTTATCAGAGCTGTTCTTGAATTGCTCGTTTTAACAACATGGAATTTGTAGTGCTGAACATGTGCAAAGATACAACCTCCCCTCTTTCGGGGTAGAGTATCTTCATCCTAGTCCGTGGTTTGGTTCTCCTCGATCAAAAGACTCAACCTGGAATTTCTATGGATGGTCGAAATTTCGAAAAGCATTCTCATAGGGGTTTCACTCGTTTTCCCAAAAGATCACCGTTGATTATAGCAGTCCTATGAAGTGAACCGTGACCGTCCACAGAAGCTCCCGTGGTGAGGCTTAACAGGGACAAGCACCAAAATCGACCGGGGGGGGGGGACGCCCAGTGTTGTTGAAATTAACATCATGTTCGTGGGCTTCCCCCTGTCAGTCAGGTCCACTACATAAACCCCCCGTTCCAGAGCACAAGAGGCATCAACCCAACACACTAGCGCATGGAAAAGGAATCAAAACAACCAACCCCAGCAATAAAAGCTCAGCGCCTTTCTTTTCCGTTCGGGTCGCGCTTCTGCTTCTCAGGCTAAGGGCTGACTCGGGTTTGGTCCTTGAACCCAGTGCAAACCCAGTCTTTGGGCCGGAAAGCCTATGGAGGTGTCTTGTTAAGGTTGGACCCCTCCAATCAACAAACACGAAATAAACAAAAATAACAAACCGCCGGCTTCCCCGGTGCTTTTGCTTCAACAGAACAGGGGGTTCTCTCCAAAAACAGACACACCCAGACTTCCAAGCAGGGGCTGTACATGGTACCTACAGCCGGCTTTGGTTTTTTGGGTGAATGGGAGTGACGAGAAAGTACGTGTCAACGCTGGGAAGACAGGGGCACACGCACACAGACAAAGACACTCTTGCACGGTCTAAAATGCAGCCTGAGACGAGCTTGGTGGTTCGTGGATGGAAACCAACAGAAAAACTACCTTTTGGGGGGAGGGGGTCCCCTGATTAAAAAAAAACAACACTTGGCGTAGGTTGTTGGATCATTTGGCTATATTTGTTTACGTTGAGTTCCCACGGCGTACCTCACAAGTGATGCTTTTGTCTCTTTCTTTACAAGGCGCCCCGCCCCAAAAGAGAAGAAAGAGACAGAAATCCTGTAGCTTGCGTTTGCCCTCTTTCTTTCTACAGTCTTTCTGTAGCAAGTTCGGGTAGGCCCTTGTCAGTTTTGCGTGTCGGTTTTGGGAATGCGGCGTAATCGGTTTCTGAAAAAGGCTCATACCAGGGTCAAAACACCCTTTTACCTCGGGTTGGTAGTGTCGGTCATGGACCCGAGCATAGGGAATTAGGCAACCGCTAGGGTTCCCCATGACCATGATTCACATCTTGGGGAGTTTTGACCATGCCACATTTGGATATGTGTCAAACACTGACTCAGAAAATTGTGGTTTGTCTTCTGAGAATTCTGGTTTCCCTTTCACCAAGCCCCCAAAATGGTTTACCTTCAAAACTCCCCTTAGTTTTCCTTTCAGCCAACACGAAAAAGGGCAACTGTTCGCCTTTCAACAAATTAGTTGGGGACCCTTCGAACATCAGAATTCGGTGTGTCCACCAACAGATGCCTGCGCCTTTGACGCAGTCTATTTCCCGGCATGTGCCAATGCAGCCTAAGCGCGGCACTGGCATGGCAAGGTGCAGCCTGACGAATTCCCCAGGTATTTCGGACTCTTAGACACCAACCATTTTGAAGGTTCCTATCCTCTAGGGCTCTCAACTACCAAGCCCACGCGTACCCTTAAGGATTCCTTTCAGAGCTAGGGGGGTCCATTTCTCCCACAAGTAATTAACTTTGGATCGGACAGCCCAGTCAAACCATTCAGGTTACTCAAATTCAGCTCGCGCAGACCAAAAATCCCGCGAGGCTTCGCCGTGGCCGCCAGGCGGTTTGGGCTGGACGCGGAACTTGGGCGATTCGTGTGCTCTCTTTGGGGGTCCTTAGGTTCATATGTTGGAGAAATTGGGCCATTTGAACGCCATATGTGGCTTCTTGCCTTTGCTTTACATATTTGCTTCACAGCGAAATTTGGGTGTAACCAACTTTTTTTGGAGGGGGCGTCGGCGATTGCCTCCGTCGGTTGGAGCCAGAGGTCAGCCTTCAGTTTGGCATGTCCTTAGGCTGCCCCCAAAAGAATGGCAACCGCGAGGACCCAATTTCTATGACAAGCCCTTTTGTTTGTTCAGCCGTCCGCTTCTTTAGATGTTTTTAATGTTTTTTTGGGTTTAGTTGGGGGGGGATTAGATTCAACTAACCCACGAGTAGGCCATTTTACTCGCTGGTTCTACCCCTTTGGGTTCCAATTGATCTCCGGTGGCAACTGTGGGCTGGCTTGTCCAAGTTGATGCGCCAGAGCTCCTAATCCGTGGCTTGGTTTGGCGGGAACATGTTAGATCCATGCCCCCATTCTTGGGTGAAACGCCCCCATTCTTGGTGGTCCCCCATGGGTTTTAGTTGTTTTTTTGTTTTTTTGTTTTTCTTTTCTTTTTTTTCCCCCGGTTGTCAGGGGTTAGTTAAATGGGTTTTCGGTCAACGGTCAAGTTGAGGGCAGCGGCCTTCTCAGGGATTCCTATGTGGTTAAATGAAGGCAAGAGTTGCAAGAAGGGCTCCGGACTTCCGCAAATCACCCAGCAACCTTGCGCAGGGGTGGGGGAAACCCAACCCTTGTTTTCTTATAATTTCTTAAACCCCAGGGCATAGACTCGATCCTTTGGCATTGATTTGGGTCTGTCTTTGTTTGAGGGTATCCCTTATTCGCAGAAAAACCACCATTTTGGAGGGCCTCCCAGAACAGACACACCCGTTTGGCTGAAGCCGGGAACTCGTTCGGTCACTGTCCCATGCCAGCCCAGAGCACGCCCGCGCTGAAATCCAAAGGCCGTTCCCGAGCATCTCACCTCCGAGCAGTACGTAGTGCTCGCCAGCGCCGACCATGCAGTCCGAACTTGCCATTGTGCTTGATGGCCCCCAGCCATCCGGTTCCTTGGCTTTTTAGCCTTTTAGTGTTTAGTGGTAGTGTCCGTTTAACCCGCTAAATGTTAGTCACTTTTAGCGGGGGATCAGACAACGGGCAGCCCAGTGTGGTTGACAGTGGTGGCAGATGCCAGAGAGGGGGAACCTGATGACACTCACGGCCTTGTCTGGCCGTGATTTCCATTTGCTTAAGGATATGTGTGACTCTCTCCTGTTGGTTTCAAAGGAAATCTATCACTTCTGGACTTGAGACAAAAATGCCAGGGGGCTAAAGCAAATGGAAGCAGGCCTCTTTGAGTCAATGTAATTAGAAGCCACTACTGCTCAAAGCAGGATCTTGCAAACATTACCTGGCATCATCTCACCTTAACTTAGCCGACTGCCAAAGACACGTCTCTGGATTGGGTTGGTCTTTCCCAAGAGGTAGTAATAGGAATGTAAGGGCACACCTCTTGGCTCCTTCAAACTGAGTCCTTTGTGGAGCCTCTCCCGGCATAACGTTCCGAGCTGCCCCCGCCACAAGACCCAGCGTTTGACAAAGGTCAGTGCTGCAGTTGGCCCAAGGGTTTGCCATTTCGTTGGAAGAGACCCGGCTTTAAATGAGACCTTGTGCAGGGATCCTCGTTTTCCTCTTTAGGGGGTTTCGGAGGGGTGATGTCGCGGTTTCTTTTGAAGTACGTCCTTTCGGAGTCAGAGTTCAGGGAGCCGAAGATCTCACCGAAACCTTGTAAGTTTGCAATACCTTTGATTTCCCATTTCCCCCGATACGACATGGCGAAAGTGCTAGGCCATAGCAAATGTGCGGCTTCCCGCTGTTTTCGGTTGAATGTTGGGCCTATCACAAGATCACCAGGCAAGGGCTCGAAATTTCTGGGGCACCATTCGCCAGGCCGGAGCTCCAAGGCGCCGGGAATGAGAGAATGGAATGACCCGAGCAACACCATCTCCCATAGTTTCCTTTCAGGGAATCCCAAAACGCTTCATTCCCGAAAACCCTGGGGCATTCTCTGAGTCTCTGGCTGCAGCAAGAGATTTGGGTGAGTTGACGACCTCGGCCCGGACCCTACTCCGACCCCTTTAAGGTCGATCCTTTCCTTAAGAAAAGCACTGCTGATGAGTACAGTCCGGATGAATCCGAATGTGCTGCTGGTCCTGTTTTTCTGTGGCCATGGGTCAAAACCCCGTACCCCTCCCAATCCCCACTAAAATAGGAAGCCTAAAATGGGTGGTGAATTCGCCTACCCCAAAATGGGATCCCAGTGGTGTTGACAACCACGGCCATGTGATCTAGTTCGATCAAAAGCCCAGGCCCGGGATGGTTATTGAGCGAGCCCAGGATGGTGAGGTTCAGGATGGATGGTTTTCCCCAGTGACCCTAGAACCAAACCTTCCAAACTACCAAAGCAATCCAAACTACCAACAGGGGGCCGACTTTTGTTTCATGGCCAAAGAGGTGGCGTTTCGGTCTCAGGTCTCGTTTCGTTGTTCGGTCGTCAAAGCCCCCCTTTGAATGCGCGCATGACAGGAGATTGCAAGGAAGGACATAAGGCTGTGGCTCAAAAACATGTTCCAAAATGGCGCCTTGCAAAATGGAACCAAAGACTAAAACCGCTTAACCCTAGCTCTTGAAATTGGAGCCACAGCTGTAGGGCAAGAGCATTCCTGACCCCAAATTAGCCCCAACCAACCAATTAACCAGTTGGTTAATACGGAGTAGCCCCATGGAAAGCAGACGGCCACTTGATTAAAGTGATCAACTCGTGGGGGAGTAACCAGTTTGGTATCACAAGGGATTAGAAAGCCCTTTAAAGGTAGACTGTATAAAGTTCGTCAGAGTAAACCCGTGGGGGGGGGGAAAAAGAAAAACACAAAACAAAAGCAAACAATTTGCAAAAAACTAAATGAAGCCGCGTGGATCTGTTTGTCAACCATCGTGGATTTATCAAGCTCCAGCCTGCCTCGGCTGCGACAGGGTGTCCAACTTTTGGTTTTGGTTCAGTCGAGATGTTTCTTGGTGCCCAGCTATTCCAGGGATCCGGATCTTGAAAACCTCCGGAAACCCAAGGAAAACGGGTTGAGAAGAATGGACAAGGAATCACCCACGCTTTTTTGGCGCTGTTTAGCTAGTATCGTGGGGGGGGGGAGGCATTAATCCCACTGAAAAGGGGACTTTTGGCAACCTGAGGACAGTCCAGGCTTCAGTTTTTACCAAAGGAGCACGCATCAGTGAGTCAGGGTCAGGCTAAAAGGCGCCATTGACCCATCTATCTGAAATGTGGCACACCCAGACCTGTGTTTCCTCTGAGGGGGCTTCGGCCCCCCAAACGACTGGAGGCTGGTGGAATTTCCTGAAACCACAACAAGGAAATGCACAATGCCAAGACTGTCTCCTCCAAGAATATATGTTATTCCCCAACAGCTGAAAGCTTTGGGGTCTCAGCCCAGATAGGCTCCGGGGTCCGGGGCGGGTTGGAGGTAAGGTTCCACGAGGGTTCCACCAGATTTCCACCAGCGTTCCACCAGCGTTCCACGAGGGTTCCATTAGGGTTCCACGAGGTTCCACGAGGGTTCCACGAGGTTCTGCGAGGGCTGGGTGGTGCGAGCACTAAAAAGAGCACCGCTCGATGTTGGGGATATCACCTGAGCTTATTTTGGACGCGCTACTTTTTTATGCCAAAGGGTTCTCGGTTTTCACTGTAACCAGATGCCACGAGACGAATGGTGGGCGGAATCCTTGGTGGCTCCCAGCCATCCCCCTTAGCCTTTTTCCATTTTACAAACTTAAAGTTCAACTTTAGGCAGAGAATCTGAGGACAGCCCAGGATCCCAAGCAAATGGTTCGGCTAGGCCCATCGCAGCGCGGTGTGGAGCCCCAGACGGTGTCTGAGAGAGTGGCCTTTGGGCGCGCTGCTCTTGAGTCAGGGTTTATGGGGGTTGATCAATATTTCATTTCGGGCCCCTGGCCACGACGCTGGGGAACTGTTCACGTGGTTGAAGTATCAAATCTCTCGGTTTCGCGGTTTTCCGACCAACGGTTATCCCATGTTCATCGGACCTTTTGATGAACCCCCATTTCAAGGTCTTGGAAAGTGGCTTTCAGTTTCACGGGCACGCGGTTCGCCTTGGGGAGAACCGGTGTGCAGTGGAAAATGGTTCTCCTCAACATGGTGTGTCGGGGCTAAATCAACCGGATGGGAATTTCTTTTTGCCCTCGAGACTTGCTTTCGCGTGGCTTCGTGCAACAGAAACCTAAGCTTCAGGTGCCCCAGGAATATAGCTACACAAACCGCCCCCTAGCTGTAGGAAACACCAAGCTGCCTATGAATCTTAATAGGGGGGACCACCTCAAGAGTGGTTGGACAGAATGTTGACCCCATATTAATCAATCCCCGTTCAGAAAATATGGGCGTGTTCCCCCCCCATTCTCGGCCCTTGTAGTAATATCCCTCTCTCGGTTTCTCTTTTGATCCGCGCTTGGGGCGCGTCATCCGGGGCCCGTCATCCGTCATCCGTCCGGCTTCGACCGATCTGAGTCAGCCACGGCCAGGGGTTCCCCTACTAAGCCCCGGATTCTTCTTTACCTGCAACGGACATGCGCTCCAACAATTTTGGTTCCCCACATTTCTCCCAGGGACAGCCCGCTATTAATCAACTGTGGTTGACTAATTTCGGGTCAACACTACTCTCGCCATATGTCCTTCCCTGGAATCTGATGTCTTCATCTTGCACCCCGGTTGATCAATCTGGGGTCAACATTCGATCCCCGGATTTTGATGTCCAATTGGTCCAGGACGTAGACTTGCTGGTGCAATAGGCAGGGAATGTGAAATGGAGTGAACCGTTTTGGGATTCCCGAAGAAATAGGGAAGCCGCCAGTTGGATGGAAGTTTTTCTCTCTGCTCATTCCATCCAACTCATTCCCTGCCTACCGCACCAGCAAGTAGATTCACTTCACTACCATGCGCCTGGGTCACTGGGTATCCCTTAAGGCCTGCAAATGGCCAATGCTTCGCTTGCCAAAAAAAACACGCTGAGCACCAGCAAGTGCCATGCACCTGAAATGAGGCCATTGCCAAGCCTCAGTGGGCCGGGGCCCCAGACACGCCGCGGTCACACTGGCCAATCGGTTTGGGCGTGCCAAAGAATGGGGGTAGAATTAAAGGGAAAACCTAGGGAACACCAGCCGATTTTGGAGGGTCCGGCGGTTTTTTGCGTTGCTGTTCTGTTTTTGGTACTGTATATGTTCAGTTGGGTGGCAGCATTGCTCTTGTGTGTTCGATTCTTTGGTTGTGTTCAACATTCGTGGATGCCTTCAAACACAGATGCTTTTTGCCAACCCAGCGTTGGGAAACTTGGCTGGGATTTCTGCGCTCCCACTCCCAGTCTCTACCATGTTTGCCGTCTCTTTCGCGAGAAATACTGCGTCAGTTCGGCTTTGCCAGCCAACCAGCAATGGGTTTCCCGTCGTGTGGGGTACACCGGGTTTTCGTCATGACTATAAGAGACTCATGTACCCTGATTCTAAGCTCTCTACTGGAGGACCTAGTATCCCAAACAGATTTCCTGCTGATGGATGTGTTGGGTCAACCTTCGGGCGACTTCAGGCTTTGGGGCGTGAAAGAGCCAAGCGTTGATTCACCACCAAAACATCTTGCAGCGAGGATCCGTGGATCCTGAAGCTGTTGCGGGGTTTGCTCCCAAATGTGCGGGGTTTGATTTTTCCATGGTTGTCCGGGGTAGTTCAAGAGCCCAGGATGTTCAAACAAAAAAATCCTCGAAAGGCAACCCCCCAGCTCTGGACAGTGAGTTGGTACATGGAGAACGGATGCCGGCCCCTTTCTGTTGAGTGTTTCATTTCCATCCACTACACCTCTTAAGATGGAACTCACAAAAGGGGTCCCCACAGATGATCAGGTGACCCTTAGCTGGTGGTTTGGATTGGTTTTGGATTTGAACCCCTGTCTGGCTTTTGTCGGGGGTTAAATGGGAAACCCCTCCTTTTCACCACCACAACAATTAAATTAAAGGGAAGCTGAAATGGGGGGCTGATCAATCTTCCTTACCCCGAAACGACCATGAGTAATTTTTCCCTTTTGGTGAGTATCAAATCTTTTCTGTGGTTTTCCAGCCAATGGCCATCCTACGTTCATGGGACCTTTTGATCAAATAGGCAATGGTATGGAGAAACGATTTGTTACTCGCACACTTTAAAACCCCAAAGTTGGGTGGGGGTGGGTTCAAATCCTTCCCGTGGTGAACCTAAAAACGTGCGGTGATCAAGCCCCAAATGAGTCACAGATCGGCCCGTAGGATGGTTGTTACCTCTCCTCGCCGGCGAGGGAAGGCACTTTCGACGGGGGGGAGATCGGGGGAAGGGGGCGACGTAGCTCGAGGCCGTGGGAAGGGCCGGTTTTTGGGTAATGTTGACCCCGGATTAAACCCTCCCAAAGTAACTTATCCTTACTACCGGCAACACCCCCATAATAATAAACCGGGGTTTATTAATCCGGGGTCAACATTAAGGGAATCCTTTTTACAGTGAAGACTTGGTTTGGACTCACCGTACAGAAGGTCTAAGCAGCCCTGAACTGACGCCCAAACCTGAAAGCCCCAAACCAAAACGCAAAACCACACCCAATAGCTGGCTGGGTCAGATGGGTCGAGTCGTGAGGGTTCGAGCACAACGAAAACCAAAACGCAGGCCGAAACGCAAGCCGAAACGCAAGTCAAGCTGAAGCAACTCGCTTCCTGAGTTCATGAACTTTAACAACATGTTCACTTTGTGGGAGGATCATTTTAGTGGCATACAAAAAGTGTCAGGACTTTTCCTGGCCCACAGGGAGCAAGGCCCACGTGACTCACCTCCGCTTTCGAACTCATCGCACGGTAGTTTAAGTCCAAGGCCTGAAGAAGTGATGGGCGAAGGGGTGTCCCCTTTATGATGCATATATATATATATACACATGATGATGGTATATGTATGTATATATATATATATTCTGCCCCCTTCCAAAACCAACCAACATTGCACTGTTCAGTGTTTTGAATTTCAAGATTCATCAGAAATCTTCCTTCAGGAAACGTGGCGCCAATTTGACAATTCCCTAGCTTAGATCTTTTTCCAGCATGTTGAATCTTGAGTCTCACCCACTTGTAAGCGGTTGCCAGCTCCACCTCAAGCAATCGCCAATGTTCAGTAAAGTACACTTTGGCAGCTTCAACCTGTGAACAAGCCTGCTATTGTTGTTTACTCTTATGCAAACCTTCAATGTTGGGGAATTCATTTCTAAATGGCTATTTGAAGTTGTCATCTAAATCATTTTTCAAGATGCTCTATGTCCTTGCACAGTTCCCTTTGCATTCGAATTCAACTCTATCAACATGATCTTTGGGAAGCACCTCCTGTCGAATTAATGTGTTGTGTATCTAGTTTGATGTGTCAGAACAATGTCAGCCATATTTATTGAACATTCAATATGAGAAGAGCATTCAATATGAGAAGAGCACCCAAGTAAGAATGTTATTTCAAGTTCAACATATGTTCAACTTTAAGCAGTTGCATTTCCTTACGCGTTCCGTTTTGAGACACCAACTATTGATTTGCAAGTTGACATTGAAATCAACTTCAATTTCAATGGGTTAACTGCCGTTGTCTAACTTCATGTACGTCGTAATGTAGTCTGATTGAACACCACTCCCCACTTAATGAGACCTGGGTTGCAGGGCGCTTTATAACCAAACTAAGTCTGCTCTTCACAAGAGAATGCGCGCAAACAGTGCTTGGGCCACGGATTCATGATGGCTCTCTAAACAAATCGAATAATCGAGCCATCACCGACCGAACAACTGAACCATTGAACGGGGTGAGAAATGCCAGGATTTCAGGCAACTTTAAAGAAGGTCCAAACTTACCTGAATTGCCCTTGTGATTTAAACATGACGTGGGCAGATTTCAACTGAGTGTCCTTGGTTAGGAGAAATAGGGCGCCCTAACTATTTTGCCTCCGGGTTGTGTTTCAGTCAGAGTTCGAGTCTGGCTGATCAACTTGCCTGCGAAGATTGTGCCGGGCTGGCTTTGTGCCATTTCGAGTAGTATGACCTTTCGGGGGAGCCTCTGAACATGTTGCAACATGTCCGCAAACTAATTGCAGGCACGGCACACTCCCGGCAGAGCCAAGTCTGCACGAGTGCAGGCAATCCGCGTTTAACCGTTTTGCGCACCTTCGGAAGGCGATTGCAAGGAAAGTGTTGCTATTTGGGATGGTGAGTCACCCTGAACCGCAACACAGCATCCCCAAGTCATGTCCAGCGGGGGCCATTTTACACAAGTCCCCATGGTGTCCCTTTTCCAGGCGCTGCCACATGCGCTGCCAATCGCGTTCCGAGGGTTTGCGGCTTGCGGTTGCGGTTCAACCCCTCGCGGGGGTTGTGTTCAATGTATGTCCTCGACACCGCTTCAATGTGGCGCCGGCAAGCTTCTAGGAAAAGTGCCCTTTGATTTTGAATACTCTTATTCGGACGTAGGCTCGGCTCGGACGCCTTCGTCAAGTTGGGGAAAAAAAAGAGAAAAAAAACGCTTGCCGTAAACATGACGGCTACGTATGGTTCAAGGTGCCAAGCTTGCGAAGAGATGTGTGTACATATGTATTTACCTAAGTCTGTATGAGTGGACGCCTCGAATTGCGCAGGGCCAAAAGGTCGGTGGCTGTCCAAATACATTATATATATATATATATTAAAACCATCTGATGAAAGTGATGTTTGTGGATTGACCTACCTGCCGAGTAGTTTGAAACTTGTTGGTGCGTTACCTAGGTGCTCTATCGTGGCTTCATGCCCTTCCGAGTCTACGAATCTTTTGAAACAAGTGTATTCCCTGAAGAGAAACTCCAGCCACGTTCCATTCTCCATGCTGACTTGTGGATCATTGGGAAAGCGGCTTTGGTTCGTCAGGTGACGGATCCAAAGCTCCATTGGGCAGGTTGGGCGGGCCTTAAACGGGGTTGCAACCTGGATTTGCCTCAAAAACCCGCCAAAATGTGTGTGTGTGTGTCTCTGCGTGTGGTCTTCCCCTTTAAGCCCCGCATTTTAAAGCCCATCCTGTCAACAGGTACCCCCAAACAACACCAACACACACACACACACCAAGCCAACGGCGCCAAAGCTCTTTGTCAGGGGGTGCTCCAGCCGACTCCGGCGGCCACCGGTCCTCCTCACCTCGGCGGGGAGCCCAGAGAAGTCGACGCATTTGTCAATTTGTCGATTTGTTCCATTGGCTTCTATGTTCCTGTGCCTATGTTTGATGGTCTGCGTGGTGGGTTCCTATAGGATTACTAGGTCTCCCAGCAATTTGTGCCCTTTCTCACCGTTTCTTTCTTGGCTGGGAGGGGAAGCCCCTACTAGAATAGACTACAGAAAAAAAGGGCACCCTTATTCTAACCTCTCAAATCTGGAGGACCTAGGTTTGGAGGAACGCTTTGTGACCTTGTCGCTCTGTGTTTTTCCATTGGTCGGCGCTCTGTGATTTGGTCTGGAGGAATGTTCAACGACCGACCGGGGGTAAACCATGAAGTGCCTTTTCTCTGTGAGAAAAACATCTGCTCGGAAGGTGGCAAAAAGTCCAAAAAATCGGGATGTCCAAATTTCCTTTACGGTGATGTGTAGAGCCCTGTAGAATCCAAAAGGGAGAGTTGAGTTTTTGGGGCCTGCTTTTAGGGGATTCCACAAGTGACCTTTTGCAGAACTCGAACCATGTTGTTGAAGCCTTAGGTCGAAAGTTCCTGGCAAGCACAGCGACGAACAGCTTTCGATTTGTTTTTTCTGTTTTTCCAGTCGTTTCTTTTCTGGACGCTCTTTTTTTTCCCCGGTCCGGATTTTTCCTTAATCCCAGAAGAGAGCTAAGAACAATCACCAGCACTATGCTGGTGGTATTTGGGCAAATAAGGTAGTTGAGGGAGCAACACGACCAAACGAGCTCACCTGCATTTTCTTTGCCAGAAACCAAAGCCACACTGGAGTGAACCCTTAACACAGCACTAGGTCAAAATCCTGCCGTACCCCAGAAAACCCTGGGCTGCTTTGGGAGAATGGAGTCCGACACCTTCGAAGATACAATCCAAGCCTGGAGAAAGGAGGATGCCTTGGATCTGCCATGGATCGCCTTGCTGGACCTTCGGTGCTGCAGAGCTTGCAAGACTTCGGTGCGCCAACTTGGGTCAGTGTGCGCCAACATCATGGTGTTCTTCGTATACGCCAAGCCGCCCAGCCGAGCCTGTCGATATGTGGAAGGGATCCTCAGAGGTGTGGACCCCAGAGGCATGGCGACAAAAAGGCGGCCTGAGCGGTGCGGTGCGAAGACGGTTGGGCTTTTTGGAGGCAGGATCTCGAGGATCTCGACATTGATCCGCCCTCTGCCTAGATCCTTCGGACCGCAGAAGTTGAGGGAAGTGTTGGGGTGGCTGCCACCAAATAGGGTTTGCACAGGTCAGAGTCATGGCCACAAACAGCTTCCAGGAGCCCACGTTCATAGAATCCACCACATTGACTTCGAGTGTGGGTTTGATTCCTCGGGCAGATCTAAACCGTGCTCACCCGAAACCAGAAAACCTAAAAGGCGAAGTCCCAGGTAAGCCGCGCTGGGCGGGCATATAAAGAAGAACGCACTGGACTCTGAGCGGAGTGGAAAGTCGCCCCCAGATTCATTTGATGAGTACGGACAGCAGAAACTGCAAACGTAAGCCGCACTGGACCGCAATAGAAGCCGCACTGGACCCCTACCCCTCCAGGGTTGTTCTTGTGCCGCATCCTTTGGGAACAAGCCATGTCAAACTCGGCACAGCTCCAAGAAAAGTCTACTTGTAAGGCCAAGTACACTTGCTCGATCAGGTTTGAAAAGGGTCAAGCTTGCAAGCACAACTGAGCCTCTTGGCAGCTAGCAAGAGGCTTTGGGAGATACTTTTGGAGTTTGGGTTTGTCTCTGCGGACCCCCAAAATGGGTTTCCCTTTGGTCACCCTTCAAACCAACCCAACAAAAGGACACCCACAAAATGACACCACTTCCAATTGCTGAAAAGAGGTCTTTTCGGTTTGTAACCTGGCCCAGGGTTGCGCAGGCATCAACTTCTTGGCGGCCCCTTAGCATGTGTGATGTCTTTTTTGGGGGGTTGTTGAAATCCGGAAGCCGCAAGGAAACCCTCATGGGTGTCCTTTATTTTTTGGGTTAGCGTGGCTCGAAATAGATGGGTTCCGATTGGCTCTATGCCCCATTGACCAGGGCAACCCAACCTTTTTTTTTCAACAGGCCCATGGAAACCGCAAAGGCTATAGGGATCCAAACCCCTATTTTTCTTGAATGGTACCTTTCATTTCCAAATTCTTTCCAGGGATCCGGATCTTTCCAGAAAGCTTCCGGAAATCCAGAAAAAGAAAACGGCGATCGGTGATTGAAAAGAAGGATGGTGGAAAAGGATGGACAAGGATTTTTTGCCCCTCCAATCGCCTTCTTGGCGCTGTTTCGTTGGTTTCGTGGGGGGGGGGTGCATTTACCCACTGAAAAGCGGACTTTTGGCCATCTGAGGGAGACGCGCCATGTGGCTTGGCCACTTCCCGTCAGGCGATCCGGCGAAGATGGTGCGCTCTCCCCAAGCACCCTGGCACGGAAGGACTCTTTTTGGTCCTTGCCCAAACTTTGCCTTGTGGTTTTCTTAAAGGAAACCCTCATGTTTCTCAGATGATCCTGAGCTGGTGGTTGCCCCTAGGTAGATGGGGTGTTCCACCAGATTTGATGCATGTTTTTCAATTTTTGAGAAGGAAACCACACATCGGGGTTGATCAAAAGGTCCTTTACATGGGATGATGGAACCACAAAAACAGGCTATTTTCCACGAAATGGGAAATGGTCGTTGGGGGCCAGGAAAATTGATCAACCCCCACTTATCAGGTAAGCCTTCATCGGTGGTTTGGAGCCCGCTGGTTTCGGTGCATAAGGTGGGCAAACCGAGGTTCAACCTTGGAGTGTCAGGCTTGGTCGTGTCTTGGTGATTTCTTAGTCCAAAGGTGATCACCTGTTCTTTCTGGATCTTTGTGGGCAACTGAGTCTCTGGCTTCCCCTGTTTCTACGTTTAAACAGTTGTGCGGCCCCTTTTGAAGTGGTCACCTTTTATTTCCAGGTCTAAGGGACAACTGATTCTCTGGCTGGTTTGGATGCAAAACCAAAAATACCATCATGTGTGGGTTTCCTTAAGTTAAGACACACCTACACGAATCGAACTTTAGTTGGGCAGATACACTGCGAGGTTATATGATGAAGGTTTCTTTTACTCGGAGTTTGTCTGATTTGTGCTCGGAGAATTAGTAAATTTGGGTCACGAGCAGTTTCCTGGTTGGTTTCCCTAACCAAACCCGCAAAGGGTACCGGTCTGAGGCTCTTCCACAAATTGCCGTTCAATACGACGTCCAGGGATGGGAATTCACACCCCACCAGTGACCGCTTGAAAAATGTTCAGCAGAGGATCAAGTGCTGGCCAGGCCTGGCCCCATTGGGCGACTAAATGTACCACAGGGGTTGATTCCCCATTCTTTTCAACCATGGTTCTTTTCAAAAACCGGATCTGTTTCCCCTGGGAGTTTTTGCTGGTTTCCTGAAAAGATTCGGATCCCTGGAAAGAATTTGGACATGGAAGGTACCCCTAGAAATGTACCACAGGGGAACCCAAACAGAACAGGTCGATTTTGGGCAAGTGAGAGAAATCAAAACCCGGGTAACGCAAGGGGCAATCCCAAGCATAAATGGCTGCGGATATCCGCCTTGTTAATTCTTTACACGGTTCTGGGTAGACCATCTTTCGAGCGGGTTTTGACTATGACTCAAGTTCTGAGTGCATTGACCCAGATCCTCTTGTCCGGGCCCCTTGCCAGTCGCTGACTGGCAGATTGCTATGATGCAACGGGGAAACAACGCGGTGGCGGGATTTGTTGATGCTAAGCTGTCCGGATGCCTCATGAGCCTCGCGCCACTCAAAACTCACTTGCCCAAAACCGACCTGTCCTTTTGGTTGCTTGTTTGGTCCATTTGTAGTCGCCAACAGGTGATCACCTTATTTCATTCTTCACAGGACCCAGAAAAATGAACCGCGAAGCGGCCGCAGACCGTTGCATAGGCGCAGACCATCTGCCGCCGCCTCCTAGCAGCAAGTGCCACAGCGCCCAGCCATTCGATTTGCACCGGCAAAACGGGGGAGGTTACTAGCTGGGTGCATAGAAAGTAAATCGCATTCCACAAGTTCATCGCCTCCTGGAACCCACCAGCGGGTCCGTTTTAAACGAAGCTGGTCTTCCGGGACGACCCTGTGAGGTTCCGTGTTAGTGGACAGGAGGGATTGAGTGAGATGGATGCCTTCATTTTGGTGACAAAGCTGTGCTTCGCGAGGCTTCGCAATGCATCACAAGTTTCGCAGACCTTTGAAGCCGAAACGTCTGAAGAAAGGAAGGCTGCGAGTCTTGAGTGACGAGAGTCTATAGCATAGGCTGATTGATTGCGGCAGAGGAGCCATACTCAATTCCTGGTAAAAACGGAAGGTCAGTGACCAGGCTGCGATAGGCTTTCTGGCCTTTTTGCAACCTAAGTCGTTTTTTTTAGTTTGTTGACCTGTCTGGCTTTCAACCTTTGAATTCTCACCCCCAAAATGCACCCAGCCAAGAGGTACGCCCGCTTGGGGTCCCAGACGATACCGACCCGGACGGCAGAAGAATCGGACCCCCTGGTTTGGTTGAACAGTTTGCAGCGGGCAACCCAAAGCACCAACAGGAAAATGGGGCCTCAAAATTTCAAAATCAGGGCAAAATCCAGGGTGCTGCAGTGTTGCTTGTAAAAATCTGGGACCCCTTCTATTTTGCACCGCCATGACCGACTCTGGATTCCAACAAAAAAGAGGGTGATTCACAAAGTTAACATCGACGACCGCCGCTTTATGTGGAATTAGTTTCTCCGAAAGTGCTCAAAATGTTCAAAAGCTACGGCAAACCGCGGGTGTTGGTCGTTTACATTTCGTCCATGCCAATTTTTGGGTCGCCATGCAATTTTCTGATTCACGCACAGTAGGGGGTGGCAAAATAGCGGATGTCTCGAAGTTGGGTTGCCCTGGTACATGGAGAAGGCGCGAACGCCTTTGGGTTTTTTGCCCTAGCTCTTCAATGTCGAGCGCCGAAAAAGCTCTCGGTGGACAACCCCAGGCATCCGGTTCCCTAGGGTTGAGTGTTTTGTTTTTTTCCCGCTGGTTTTTTGTTGTTTCCGGCTGGGTTTGGTGGGTGGGGTGTCCATTTCATTCTACGAACTTCCAGTTTCTTAAGAAGTTTACTCTCGCCTCTGCTGGCTTCAAAGGGAATCTACCACAACTCGCCATTTCCCGGAAAAGAAGCATGCAATCTAGGGGTACCCTGTTGGGCCCTGAAAACGGAAAGCACCAAACCCGACGTCTTCGGGGGTCTATGTCAACCGAAAGCCAAGGTTTCCGCCCCCGAAGCCGAAGCTTTCCGAGCGAGAGGCTGGGAGTGGCCCTTGTCCAAGCCGGAGAAGCAGGAGCGAGTGGCCCTGGCCCCAGGTGCTTTGGGGTGGGGTCTGGGCCACGTTGGGTTTGGAAAGGGAGAAAAGGACAACCACCATGTTTTGTTTCTTTGGGGGGGGGACCCCCCGCGAGAAAAAAAAAGAAGGAAAAAGGGACACACGTTTGTTGACTAAGTAGGCTCTTCGGCGGGGGCACCGCTTTTGGAAGTCATCCACTGGGTTTGTTGGCGTCACCAGATTTGGCTCAGCCGAATGGCCAAGGCCATGATCGACGCCCAACTGTGGCCATGGCCTTGGACGGGCGGATGGGCGGATCTTGAGCATAGGTCTAGGGGTTGATTCCCCATTCTTTTCGACCATCCTTCTTTCCAAAAACCGGATCTGTTTCTTTTCAACCATCCTTCTTTTCAAAATCCGGATCTGTTTCCCTTGGGTGTTTGATGGTTTGCTAGAAAGATCCGGATCCCTGGAAAGAATGGAAATGGAAGGCACCCCTCTAGAATAGGGGTCCTTTTTGGTTTGGTTCACAAATTGAGGGCCCTGGTTTGGTGGTGCATTGATCTATGGCCATCCAATTCTCCGAAAAGGATACCTATGTTCCTGAGACTCGCTTTAAGCCCAAAGCCGACCTTTGGACCTGTTGGCTTCTCCATGTTGGCAACTTCAAGTGGCCCGCAAAGGTGATCACCTGCTTATTTCTGGGTTATGGCAACTGAGACCGGGATTCCTCCATTCCCCTTTTCAAAAAGCGAGTGGCGATGGTTTCAATGGCAACCACGAGCCACAAAAGCAACTTACGGGGAAAATCACGTGCCCCCCTTTGGATTCGCGCAATTGCGGCGGAGATTCAACTTCCAACGGGTGATAGACATGAATCCACTGGCCAAATTAGGCAAGGGTTAATGTTGACTCCAGATAAGGTGCCTGTTCATCTGGGATCAACATTCAAACAAGTTTCAAAACCCCGTACGACTCTTTGGTTTTGGCTGCCTCGCTGGTCGAAGGCGAGCTTGGTCAGGTTCAACCCGGATGGATCGATCAATGGGGTGTTTGGGGGGGGAACAGGGGGAAGGTGGGACAGGGAGTGGTTGAACCGCATGAAACTGTGACACCCCGTATCAATGCTTATTAATTTTGGTGTGCATTCTCGCGAGTTGCTGGCTTTGGCCTCAAGGCAACATCATGATTAAGCGAATGTAAACTGGATTTGTTTCCAGCCCATGGCTGATATGGTATATGGTTTCAGCTTCACGAATTCCGAGTCTGGGAGCACAGTACAAGTACTTCATCCGCCCACTAGCCCAATGGGTGTGTTGCTACTGTGCGTGCATGTTGGGGCTGTTTCTTTTTCGTTGTTTTTCCTTGTTTTTTAAGAAAGCCAAATTTGGAGTCTGCCCGTTGGCGCGGTGAGCCGAGTTTGGTCGCCATGCGAGGCGATACGAGCAGACTGGGCTCATCGAGCAGGCGACTCGCAAGCCGAAGCTTTGGGCTCCAAACGTGGCCCCCGATGTGAGCAGAACTTGCTCACTCCAAGCCCAAGCTTTTGAACCTTTTGGTTATCCGGTTTTTGGCCCACGGTCACGAAGTTCCCAAAGCGTGGCGCCAGTTGCTAGAAGTGTTGTTGTTTTTTCGGGTTCTGTTTCTTAGTAGTACAGTACGGGGCTGCAACAAAAGGACTGTCTTGATTCCAAGCCCATATCAAGGTCAAGAAACTGTTGGATCCTTGCTCAAGAATGACTTGAGCCCTCCAAATCATTTAGTTGATTCGTTTTTGAGGTATCCGGTTATCCCCCTAAAGACCCCCTTAAAGGACCACTTTTGGGCCGGGGAGGGGGGGGGGGACTGGCCCTAAAGAATGTTGACCCCGGATCTAAGTAGAACCCATCCTATTAATAGGGGGGCGGGGCCCCTCCAACAGTGATGTGATCAAAAGGGGATACCCCCGTATGAATCAACCAGGGGTTTAGTTGCCGGAAGGGTACAGAATTAGTGAGAAGTTTTCTTTGGTTTCCTTCTAGTACTATTGCCAAGTTTCTTTAACTTTGTGCGCTCCTGCGTCTTTGTTATTCTCCCATTCAAAGCTTACCTCTTGAGCAGTCTGACCAGTTTGGCTCGGTCGACTCGAAGAGGTCGAGATGCTTCACGACCTGTGCGCTCGCGGCCCGGTGTAGGGTTAAGGCCTTGAATATCGAGGCTTGACCACCTGGACGCAAAAAATGACCCTTGGACACAGTAATGTTACCCCATCAACTTTGAGTTGCCTCAATCCCACTTGAAAGGGTGGTGAATCGGGCGATTTTGGGATGTATATACATATAGCTTGCGCCGGGATCGGAACAGGAGCCACAGGCAGAGGCTAGGGGATGGAAAGTGGGAACGAAAATGGCGGTGCTCTTCTCAAGTTGTCCAGTGGCACCATTTAGCCTTTTTACTTTGCCTTTTGGCTTGGCGGCTTCCCCTCTCTAACGGTCAACCCCAAAACGCGTTCCACCTGACTTCCTTTAGAGAGCACACTCTGAAAGGACTAGTATCCACGTATGCATCCCACAACCATCCTGACAGGAAACCGCATTGCAAAACACGGCGACAGGATCTGACCGAGATTGGTGTTCCCGTTTTGGGAGTTGCTTCAGTCCGTTCCCAGAGAATCAAACTCTTTGGGTAGAACATTGGTGAAGGAATTGGTTCTTTCCCCCTCCCCCCATTTTTACCAGGGGTCATTTTTTTCTGGCTAGGATTCCAGAAGGTCAGCCTTATTCCATCCTGAAGTCAGCCCGTGAGCGGAGGCAAGGCTCCCCTTTTTGGGGTTGGTTTGAGATGCTAGGAGGGTCCTGTACTTTGTGGCAAACCCATTTGGTACCCAATCCCTGGTCGCCTCCAGACAGCCGATATAAATCCCGAAAATCGGTGGGCAGCGGCATGCAGGTGTTGAGGAGGACGTTGTGGGGTTCAAATGACTGTGGACCAATGGAATCCCATTTTCGTGGGTAGGTGAATTCACCACCCATTTTAGAACCTATTTTAGTGGGGATTAGGATGTTCAATGGGGGTACGATTTTGCTTTTGACCCATGGCCAAATGGAGATGTCGTCAAGCGGTTCCCACCACCCAGCTGTGGGGTGGAAGTCAATGGACCCGCGTAGCTCGTCTATTTGGAGTTGCGGTGCAGCGCCGAGTGTCGCTTCTGCACACCGAGTGTTGCTTCCCCTTGGGCTCAAAAGCAATCTATCACTAGTTGCTGGAAATATGTATTTTTGCTTTCCATTGAAGGAATCAACAAATGGAGGATACCTTCGCTGAAACATGAGAAGTTCTGTAATTTTTGTTGGAGCCATATTCCAGGGTAGTTGGCGAGGTTCACAAAATCCTAGCCTATGGTATTTGCATGAATGAAGTTGGTGGTTTAGATTGGTGGTTTGGGGAACTGAACGTCTGGTTCTTGTAGCGTGATGGGAAACCAATGGAAACCACTTCCTAGCCACCAAATCACCGGGCTCCAAATCACCACTCTCCAAATCACCACTAGAGGGAAGCTGAATACGCCAACAATCCTAGGAAAGGAAAATTTCGCAACAGCGCCCCTTTGGGTTCTTTCTGCCCCTTTTACCCTTTTTTGGGGGAGGGCTCCCCTACAAAAATAGGCAACAGAAAGAAGAAACGGTCCCCTGATTCTGACCTCTCAAATCTGGAGGACCTAGGCTAGTTTCTTCCTCGGGGCCCCTGAGGCGCAGCACGGGATCGTGCCGGTGGCCGATGTGGCCCGCACGGCTCAGATTGGTTGTTGTTGTTTTTTTTCTTTTTGTGGGGGGCGGGGCGGGGAGTCGCTGGCGTCTTTTGTTGTCTCTTCTTCTTCTGTTTTTCTTCCTCGGATTTGGAGCCCCCCCCAAAAAAAAAGAGGCACGGTGTCGGTGGTCATTTTTGGGGTCCCTTCAAAACCACACGAGGAGTTGGAGTTCCCAGGAAATGGCTTCGGTGGTCTTTGGGTTTCCCTTTAAAACCGGGGTACCGAGCCGCAAAAAGACATTTGAGTTGGCTTTGAACCCCCCATCAAAGAGGAAAATCAGGGCGGTTCGTCAAAAATGGACTTGAGCGCATGGCTTGAGCTTCGAGTTCAGCTCGAGAACCGTTAACGAATCTGGTGGATGCCTCGTCTTTTTGAGGGCACCCCGTTGTGTGGCTCAAAACCCACCCAACAGGAGAACCGATGATCGCGCCGTTTCGGGGGTCCCAGTGCCAGAAGACGAAACACCCACGACCAGAATCTCAGAAACTCGTGTTGTTCGTGGTGTTTTACGTTTCTCGCATGTGTACCCCGGAGTCGAGCCAAAGAGTCGTCATGGGACTCGTAGGAATTTGTTTCGCTCCCATCTGTACTTTTACACTCCACTCACAAGACTTGCCGGCCGGGTTCCGGCCAAACTCGGATGAGACGTCGCCCAATGATGCGCCCAGTCTTTGCAGCTCATGGGCAATCCATTTGTCCGGTGTGTGATATTTTTCCGAAAGCTGCAGATTTGGCTAAAAGTCGTAATATGTATAAAAAGGTAGTGCGCCTAGGTCCCCCAGTGGTGCCCCTTTACCCTTTTTTGGGGGAGGGTTCTCCCACAAAAATAGACTACAGAAAGGGTACCCTTATTCTAACCTCTCTACTGGAGGGCCTAGACCCTATCTTGGCGCAATGCTGATGCTCCCTTGCCAGTCCATGGATATGGACGAGGGCAGCACCGCGAGCTCGGAGTCGGTCTGAGGCGCGGACTGGGTGTCTGAGCTCGGTACATGTCACGTTAATTGGCGCAAAGGGTTGACCTCGGATCTTTGGTGCATTTTGCTTGGATGTTAGGACTTTACCTTTTTGCCAACCAATGGGTTTTCCGTATTAAACCACTAAAAGTTAAACCTTTAGCAGGGGAGCAGATTTCGCAACCGAGGGAATGGTTTTTGTCCCCTATTCATAGGCTGAAACCCCTCCATTAAACGTCTTCCCCACTAAACCCCCCCAAAAAGAAACCAACCTACGGATGATGAGCTTGGGTTTCCCAGCGCCGCATCAACCCTCAGCGCACTCCCTGGGCTTCAAACTGTGCCTGCGACCGACAAGTTGGAGTCGCCTGTGACCGTCCCGTGTTGAAAGACCGTGTGAGTGTCAAATAAAAAAGCTCAGGCTCGGTTTGTCTGAGCCAGTCCGCTCAGGAAGTGAGTATTAGGGGCTTCAGACAGTGGTAAAAAGTCTAGGGAACCATGGCTTTGGCAAATTTCCCAGGCACGCTTTTCGGGGCCGTACAGAGCCGGAAGCGGGAAGCCAGGTCTGGGCAGGGGTGAGTCGGAGGTTGGCATTGGACCGATTCGGTTCGCGTGGTGTGCGATGATGTGACACTGTCGATGAGAGGTCGCTGTGCGACCCGGGGGACTTGCGGCTTCACTGGAACAGGCATTTTGTGCAAATCCGCAACCCCGGAGACAAATATCTTCAAGCGTTAGCTCACTGTCACCTGGGGATAAAACAAACTCAGCATGATGTAGGTCCTTGGGACTTTTTTGTGAAATTTGCAAGGAGTTGTGGTGGCTCGTTTTCCGCACCACCCAGGGAGCCTTTTTTGTACGCCTACAAAGGAGAGGTCCGGCACAAGAGGTGCCAGGTGGACCTGTTTGCTGGACATGAATCCCTGTCCACCGAAGGGTCCACGACCCAAACTAGGTCCCCCAGTAGCGCCCTTTTACCCTTTTTTGGGGAGGGTTCCCCTACTAAAATGGACTACAGAAAAATGGTACCCTTATTCTAACCTCCCTACTGGAGGACCTAACAATATCCTTCCCATATGAAATATCCTCGATCCGCTCGTGGAAGCAAGGTGGTCGGTCGGTCAGGCGATGCCTGACTTGTGTGAAGCCGGATTTGAATCCGCCGCACGGATTCATCCTCGCGGGGAACGGACCATGGTAAGGGTGAAGGGGTGGGTTGGATGTTGGTTTTGTCACGCAGAATCCGAAGTTGTTGTTTTGGTGTACCCAGGGGTCGGGGTTTCCCCTGTAACACAATCCTGAAAAGGGAACCTAAAGCTGAATCAATGCGAGGGGAACACCTGCAAAAATGGTTGGGTGTTCAACCGCTAGTCAGTCCTGATGTTTGAATTTCTGAAACATGTGGTGCCTGGCAATAGCACCAGTTACTCCCTTCAAATTTACATGGAAGGCAACAAGGGTATCGCCCACAAGGTGAAGTCTCTCTTTTTTTGGGGAGTCTCACAATAGTAATGATAATAAGGAAAATAATACGCAGGGGAGCACACACACCTGGGTCTATCATGTTGGCATGTGTGGGTTGCCAAAAAAGCCTGTAGTGAGTAGTACTCTTTGTGGGGCCAAACAGTTCTGAGCTGTTTGACGTTCGGCCATTTCCCTCTCACAGGGTTCTTGGGAACCTTCTTGCACGGTTTCGCGTCCTCGCCGGGGAATGGCCTCAGGAGAGCTGGACCTTGCCGACAGAAACTGAGCTCATCGAATATGGCCGTGGCCTATATCGCAACAGGTAGGGGGTGGCCAAATCGAACGAGCACTCAGTGCGCGACCTTTAGGGAGTTTGGGGGTGGCAAATGAAAAGCACGGCAACAACTTGGGGTGGCCAAACCGTTCAAAACAGGATTTATCACCCTTGTCACACGCTGGAAACTGTTTAAGCAACCCTCCTTTGGGTTTGCCTCACATTTTTCAGCGCATGGTGCCAAAGTAGTCTTAGAGCGCGTTAGGCCGTGTTGCTTTATTTCTGATGTACCACGTGTTTTGTGAGCTGGAACACTGGAGACGCAAAGGGGCCTTGTTACGCCGATTTCTTCTCGCGGCCACTGCTTCTTGCCCAGAGGGGTCAACAGAGCTCATTAAATTAGGAGCTTGGAAGTGTCCATTGGCGATGTAGAAGGGTTGTCCCCAAGCTGGTGCAATGTTTGGACAGGGAAACACGGGTTGACGACCAGCGCAGAGTTGACATGACGCATTGGTTCAACGTCCAAAACAAAACAACTTTGACTTAGTGGACTCCCAGTCTTGGATCTGAAAGGACAAACCGAACAAGGAGGGTCACTGCTCCCAAATCAAGCGCATACTCTGGTGTACTTGTCCCTTCTCGCCAAATTACTGCTGGGAAGTAGAATTTTTCTCCAAGTATCCTAATATCATCTAATATCTGTCTGGTGCACCACCTAAAACCTGCCCCCAAGGGGCAAAACAAGAACGATTTGGCACTAGGATGCTTTCTTGGATAAGGAATTCCGGAATTCTGGTTGGAAATCAGGCCAGAATTCGCCCAGGTCGGTGTTGCCCGAATGTAGCAACCGGCTTTGGACTTCACATGGCTTGACTCCGCTTCTTGGGGAATGAACCTCCGCACGGAATGAGCAACCTACAATGTTGCTCAGGTATCGGTATCCGATTTGGGGTGGGCCCCCATCAGTTTGGAACTTGCAGGCCCCCAGTTTGTTTGTTCTGGTGTTGTTGAGTTGACATGGGCGCGTCTGTTTTGGAAGGTACCCATAGCTTTGTTGGGCTTAAGGCAGCCAAAAGGAAGCCCACCATGGGGGGGTTCCATGTATATACATATATATATATATACATATTATATATATATATATACATATACATATATACATATATATATATACATATATATATATATACATACATATATATATACATATATATATATATATATATATATACACATATAAATATATATATATATATGTGTATTTGACACAAACCCACATAAGGTTGGTCTTCACCAAGCCTGTTGCAGGGCTCGTTTTTTTTGTCGGCGATGGGCGATGGCCAAACCGCGCGGCCAAAGGGCCCGAACCGCAGAGTCTCGGAGGGGATCGGCCAACTTTAGGGGAGCTCACCCTCCCCAGTTGGGCGTGTCCTTTTTGAGGGTACCACTAATTCGACACATATACCCAGTTGGACATGGCATGCTGGTGTTTGCAGTCCCCAAGTTTGGATGACCCTGCAAAATTAGCGACATCAAACTGGCCAAGGTTTTGCTTGCTGAGTCATGATCTTCCTTCTGTGCTTAAGGCCAAGTGTATCCAAGGATGAAGCCATTGCAATGGCTCGAAAGTTCCAGGTGTCCAGAACAAGGCGCACCAAAATCAATGGCGAGTTCGCGCAACAGCTCCAAACCAAAGGTTCACATGGCGTACACATTTAGACATTTGGATGCCTGGAAGAGCCCACTACGTAGTAGGTGCAGTAAATGGTACTTTCAAGAGGACAATTGCGTGGTGGTATAGAAGCTCCACATATATAGCTTTATACGTAGATGGCTACACCCAGTTCAGGGGCATGGTTTGGTCACGGAATTTAGCACGTAACTGTTTCCCTTGATACTCGTAGCTAAGACTGCCTCAACGTTTGTTTGCTCCAAAATCACCGCTCCGGGCAAGCTTTCGGCTGGGTGGATTGTTGGGTCGTGATCCATAGGTCAGGTTGGCCTGGGCTTCGAGCCATGAAGGTGAGGATATTCCTTTCAGGACAGTCGCTGGCAGCGACCCCAACTCACAAGTTGCCATGTACCGGTCTCCATTGAAACGATCGCATCGCCATTTTTGGAGCTTCCGAAAAGGAAATGGAGGAAACCCTGAAGGATCATGAGCCGATCCTCTCTATAGCCAATGATCCATCTCTGGAGTTTTCATGACAGCCTCGCCGCTTGTCCGCTTGCGCACGTGCAGAGGTGGTTTTAGGTCGCAAAGGGACCTGGAAGGATACCCCTTATGATGTGCTCAGCCTCTTGTCCGCTTGTCAACTCCTTTTCTTGTCGTCGCAGGTTCAATCGTCCAAAAACATCACTGACAAACGAATGCCTGGAAGAGCGTCCGGACTGACTCATGTTTGCACATGCGCTGGTCAGACACTGACGTTTGAGCAGCATGATGTTCAGGTGTCGGGTCCACTAGAGATAACTACACTCCTGATGCTCAGTGCAAAAGCTCAAATGGCAAATCCGGCAAGAACCCTATGAACGCATGCTGCTCAAAGTCGAATTCGCATGCCACGCAACAAAAAAGAGTGCCGGGCGGCGGGAATCCAGCTTGCAAGACCCCTGCGGGGGTGAGCGTTGTTGAATTTGGTTTTTCCCCAGCGATTGCCTGATTGCAGCGTTCTCTCTGTGGTCTATTCGATTTCCAACTGAAACGCTTCTCCAGGGAGAAGCCTTTTTACGGGTGATCCTTAACAGGAGATGGCCAGAAGTAAGGGGTTCAAGGGCCCGTCGAGAAAAAACAACAACATAAAACAAACAGAAAGTAAACGTAAAATAAACGGAGGAGAACAAATCATTACCTTAAGTATACAGACAATAAACGTATGTATTTATTTATTTACGGAGATGGGTCTTGGAGCAAAGAATCGTTGAAAGCAAGGAGTCCCCCAGGACCCGAAACAAACAGCTTTTCGGGTAAAAAAATGTGACACGCAGGCGCTTGGAAAGACTTAGGAAGCCGAGGTTTGGAGTTTTTTGCGATGCACGAAAAGCGCTTTCTGACTCGCAACAGGGAATTGGTCGATCGCCGCGAGACAGACGCAAACGTAGAGCAGCTAAACCATGTTGGTGTCCCATGGTGTCTCAACAACCAATTATGTTGGTTTCCCATGGTTTCCGAAACCCTGGGTTAAAAAAGAGAAACAAGTTTCCAGCAGGCCTTGGGTCGTTGGCATTGGTTTGGATTACCAGACTTGCGAATGTGGGCAAATAGATGGGGCTGGCCCTTGGAGCACCTCCCAAGAGGAATCTTCGGTCGTCGGTATGTAACTCACTTCCCGAGTCCCTGGACTTTCACTTTTCGGGTTTGGACCATTTTAGTGCTCCTTAAAAGATACATTTTGCAACCATTTGGAAAAATGTTGCTTTTTCCACCAAAATAAAGGGAAACTACCATTTACAAGTCGCAATGTTCAGGTGTATAATGCATCCGGATCCCTGTAGTGGTAAAACAAAAGCGCAGACCTTTTCGGCCCAGCCGCTCAAGTCAGGTAAGTTGTAGACTCCCTTGGTTCTATCACCTGGATTTGTTGTTTGTTTTTCTGTGGGACTTCAGCAAACGGGTATCTTTCCTGAGGGAAAAACTGACCGAATATCTTGAATCGACACACCCCCCCCCCGCACCAGGGCTTGGGATCCGGAAATAAAAATCATCCCCACCTGCACGGGATGGATGGGTTTCCTCATGTTTCAGTGGACCAGTTTCCGGTTTTCAATGTGCCCGGGCTGCGGTTCATTTCACCTCGCCCCTGAGGGGTGTTTAGCGTCAGCGCTCAAGCGAGATTCCTTAAGGTCGTCATGATGTTTCGCGCATCGACGTGCCCGCATCGACTTGAAGAAGAAACGTTTCAGGTCAGTTGGATTAATTTCCAGGTGCTTTGGGCAAGGCATTCGAACAAATGCTGCACAAAAAAGTAGAAAGTTCCATTTGAGCGAAGCTCGGTAGTTGGTTGCGAAGTGAGCTTGAACTTTGGTGGTGTCTTTTTGGTTCAACACCTTCATGGACACGAACTTTTTCGGAAGCAGTGGATTGTCCCTTGGACCCACGACAACTTGTTGAACTTTTTGAACCAAGAAACCTATTGCAAATGGGACCGGGTCCCCAACCTGGCGCAACGGCATTCCTCTTAGTTTTCTTGTGAGAACCCCCGAAACAGGGCACAATCGAAAAAAAGACCGACCCCTTGGCAACGTGTTTCACTCCCGGACTGCTTTCCAGCATGATTTCTGGAAAGCCGGATGTGCATGGGTTAAGAATGGAACTTCCCCACAGAAATTGTCAATATGCTCCGTCATTCTGTCAAAAAAGGGGATGACGTTGGTCACACTGAAGCTTAAGGGGATTTGAGGACAGCCCAGTTTAGGCCCAAGTAATTTTATGCCCCGCTCAGGGATGCTGAGGTCCAGGAACCGATTTCCCAGAGGTTCGGCTCAAGCTGCGGCTAGGCCAATCAAAGAAGGCGCGCGGATTGGGGAGCCGACGGCTTCTTTCGGATGGTGTGTTTGGGGAAGGTGGATTTAATTCGTCAGGTTGTTTTCCTTGTTAGAGGGATATCCAAGGTGTTTGTTGGTTTGAGGTAAGTCACAGGAGGTTGTTCCACCGGGGTTTAATGTGTTGGCCGAGTATTGGGCCAATTGCTTTCTCAAGGCGAAAAGCGTCCTCCAAATACCGACAGGAAATATGTAGACGGCAACCCCTTTGCGAAAAAAGGAGGTCGTTACCAAGGGAAACCGTTTTTTGTTTGTTTTGTTTTCAAGTGTGCCCGTTCTCAGTCGCTGTTTGGAGGAGGGGGCGCCCTTTTATGCAGCAAGAGTGGATGCTTGGGGCCTTTGCAGTCCATCCACCCGTTCACAGATCCATCCCATCCCATCCATCAATTCATCCATGTTGGACAGTGTCTTCCAAATTTGAGGCAGCCAGCCTTTCTGTATGTTCCCTTCCCCCTCAAGATATCAACCGCAAGCGCAGTCTGCCTTTCCCCCTCTCCCAACCCCCGACCTCTCGTTTCCCGGAAATAAGAACCAAATTTGTTGTTTGCTTGTTTGCTTGTTTGCTTGTTTGTTTGTTTGTTTGATTGATTGATTGATTGGTTGTTTGACTTGAAAGGGATACTTGCTATGTCACAACGTCCTTGGACAAGGCAATGGGACCTTAGTTATGTTTCTAGAAGGTCACTTATACCGGACAACAAAAAAGGGGCTTGTCCATGTAGCCACTTGAAACACTCACCTTGAGGGCAAAACAAGTAAACTAGCTAGGTCCCCAGTAGTGCCCTTTTACCCTTTTTCGGCGGAGGCTTCCCCTACTAAAATAGACTACAGAAAAAGAAAAACGGGTACCAACTTATTCCAAGCTCTCAAATCTGGAGGACCTAGTAAAAATAATGGGCGGTTCATGAAAGCGGGATGGTCCTTTCACTTTTTCAGTTGAGCCGAACAGGGCTACGCTGGACCCGAAGGCATGTTCCCTAGCCGAAATCGCCTGCGTGGCCTGGCAGAATGACTAGTTTCGCTCTTTGCCCTGACTGCGGCTCCTTGGCCTCTCAATGTGTATTGATAGATGTACATTATATATATATATCATATATATCATATACCTGCGACCTCCGGAGGGTACATTTTTTTTGCGTTTGGCGAAAAGGCATTTGTTTCTGCCGTTTCACGAAAAAAGGGCCGTTTGCCTGAAAAACTGCCGTTTGACAAAATGCTCGTGCAACGGTCGGGAAAAGTTGCCGTTTGGACGGGAAAAGTTGCCGGTTGGACGGGTAAAATTGCCGTTTCGATTCAGTAAGCAACCGCCTGTATTGCTCAACTTGCAAAAGTGTCGGTTCGCACAAAAAGTGCCGTCTCGATGGAAAACATTGTTTTTAACCAAACAGCAGAAAAAAGTACCCGCCAGGAAGCCACAAGTATATATATACACACACCGGGTAATCTGAATATGTGTATAATCTCTTCCCCCTATTAATAAATACGCCCCCCCCCCCCTATTATAAATAAATCCTCCCAAAAATAGATATTTTTTTTAATTGGGGTTTTCGGGGTTGGGGTTTTTTGCTTTTCCAACAATGTGAGGGTTCGCATAGGATTTGGAGGAAATGGATTGAATTGTAAGGTCCGCGAGTAAGCGGTTTAATAAGGAAATTTCATGTATCATTCTATTTGTTTTTCAGTTTACTGGGTGTTTGTTGGCAGCCAGGCAGGTTAGCCAGCATGTATGGGGGAGAGACAGTCGCAGCTTAAAAGTGGGGCTGGAAGCTTGTTAAAAGTGCCCCCTAACAAGGATTCCAAGACTTTAGTATTGGTTTAGTATTGGCGCAATTAAAAATCAATTGTGCGGAGTGGAAATCTGGTCTCGGGCCCCGGATTTGCATTTATTATTAATGGGGGTCATTCATTAATTGGGGGAGGAGATTATATAGTTTTGCCCACCCATGAGTCATGTCCCCGACAGAGGGTTCGCCACTTTCGCTCCCTCAATTGCGGTCTAGAATGCTATCATACACGGACAGCCAGACATAGGTTACTTGGAGCAGACCTTGCCCTCCTGTTTCCCCACAAGACTCTGACGTTTTCGGCCTTCCTGACCATCAAAGAAGTCCCCAACCGTCCATTCAAATAGCCCGTGCCTTGACCAACCAAAAGAGAGCCGAGCCCCGACAAAGAAGAAAACCACGCCCAGCTGGTTTTTGAAATGGGGGCCACTTGCGGCATCCCCTTTAGGTGAAAGGCGGCTCTAGACGTCACCAAGATCCCAAATTGGAGTGTCTGGTATTAGGGGGCCCAGACAATTGCGGTTTTCCTTTTGGTGTTTTCCGTTGAAACCTCCGAAAACAGGTACCCCCAAAAGAAAGACACACCCAAACGAGGCCATAGGTTAATTTTTGTTTGACCAGCCAGCTGAAACTTCCGTTCAGGATGGCGTCCACCGACCCGCGGAAGATTGCGGAGGCGCCCATGTTGCGTTCGAAGTGGGCGTGTTTGTTTGATTTGGAGGCTGGCCTTTTTGCCGGGGGGTGTTTTTGCAGGGCTCCCTAAAAGATACATTTTGCAACCATCATGGCCTTTTCCACCAAAATAAAGGGAACCACAATTTGCAAGGCAATGTTCAGGTGTATAATGTAAGGATCCCTGTTTTAAAGGGATACTAACGCAAAACCCCGCCATTTTCAGGGGTCGCGATTTCAACGCGCACCCAAGCGGAATTTAAGAAGAACGCCTGGGGAGTCAGTTCATTTATTTGGGTCAGTCCTTCTGTGAAGAGCTCGTTGCTGCTAACCTGGGACGCTTTTTGAATGAGTTCAGCCTTACCAATGACTCGAGCTGAAAATTCCCGTATTCCCGGGGCTAGATGTTGTAGTTCTTTCATTTCACATTCCATGCGATTTTGGGATTCATTTTGTTTGTTTACATTGTTCAAGTCGGATTGCTTTCCCACCACCAAAAGGGTTTCCGAATGCCTCCCGAATGCCTCCAACCAGCTTCCCTAAACCCACAAGAAAAAAAAGTTGGTGCCAACTCCAAAAAAAAGCGACGGAGCGACTCACGTGGACCTTTTTGGTTCCTGACTGAACCCTCACCAACGCATTTTGGGGCGTGGGTTTTTTGCTCTCTGTGCCCCTTCCTTGGGGTGCCGATCCGCACTCCCGGCGGCCGCTTTTGGGAAAGTCATGTCTGACTTAGCGTCACTGGGCCAATTTCGAAGTGTCCTGGTGGTGTGGGGTTACAAGGGAGGCAGAACCCCGAGGATTGGTTTAGGCTGTTCAGCTGGTGTGTTGGGCTGTTGGGCCGTTGGGCTATTGTTGGGCTGTTGCGTTGCTTGGCTGTAAGGCTGTTGGTTTCTTTTCTGGTCGTCTCAAGTCGGCAAGCCTCTCGTCGCCACGCCTCTCTACGGCATTCGGCGGTTGCGGGAGTTGCCAAGCCTGAAAGACGACAATTCAGGGGCACCGCGCATTCTTCCACTTGAAGCATCACCAAGAAAACAACAATCGGGTTCAACTGGCCCAGCAGGTGTTATTCCAAAGGGCGCAGATGGATATCAGAATATGGGGAACAAAAAAGTGGAGGTGTCCAGTTGGTTTCCCGGAAAAGAGTGTGGTGTGCCTTTCAAAGTGTACGTGAAAAGGGCGCCCTCAACAAAGCACGAGCACATGCGAATCACGGGAACCCGTCCGGCGCAAGCCCTTGGCCTAGGTTCGAGATGTCCACCGGCTGGAACGCATCGGCGCGCTCGAAGTTTTTTTTTTTTTTTGGAATCGGTTTGTCGTATCCCTCGGGTTGCGGGGGTTAATGCTGACCCCATATGAATCAACCCCAGTTTATTATATAGTAGAATGTGTGTGCTTGGGTTTAGTGGGGAATCCTCACTTTTGGAGGGAAACACCCCCATATTTAATAAGCTGGGGTTGATTAATACGGAGTCAGCATTATCCCCCACGGTGATACAAGTTGGCAGCTCCCTTGTGGGGGGAAAATTTGTCTTTGGGTTTTTTGGCCCTTTCTGTTGTATCACAGAAGTGGGCCCAGGTCCGATCCCGTTGCAAGAACCAATGTGGTTCCAACCCAACCACCAAGGGCAAGCTGATGTCGCAACTGGGAACCAACTGGTTCTGTCAGTTGAGGTTACCCGTTTGAAGGCCAAAAAGAAAGCCAACCTTTTTGTGGGCCCAACTCCTATTTTGATACAGACCCAAATAGAACCCGTGAACTAAATGCTTGGTTTTCCTTGTCATTGGTTTTACGCGGGGGAGGGGTGTCCTTTTAAAGCTGCCATAGAATGAGTACCCTCAAGTGCCCGAATAGGGATCCCCATCTGCGACTGTTTCCCGAAGAACTGTTGGCTGCATGGTGAGATAGATTGTTGCGATTCTGTTTAATTTTAATGTTCATCCCAGATCAATCAATCCCAGTTTGTTCCCCTCGAAAAATCATGAATCCCCACAAAACCTGGTTGTAGCGAAAGTCAGAATGTGGCTATGTCCTGGTTGTTTCGGGAGACAACGCCCCCACCCATTAAAAGATGGCCTCCGTACTCTTATTTGTTGGTTCTCAACACCTATTGGTTGCCCGTTCCAAATGATTCGTGGAGTGCGAACGCTGGCAACCAGCAACCAGACGTCTCACAAAAGAGGACAAGGAAGAGAGGTGGGCATGAGTTTCAATAAGGGAACCACCTCAACAGTGGTTGGGCATGAACCCGCCAGCTGCACCGAAAACGCAAAGCACAACACGCCAAGGGCCAATTGGAGCAATGCACTCCATGGATCACCCACAAGGCGCACCTCACAAGGCGCTTCAGCTGGAAGCAGGGCACTTGGCGCTAGGGGCCACGGCCGGCCCAGCGGCCTTTGAGCAGACCCCTCTCGCTCGAAAAGCGACACAAACGAGCGGCCTCCTCCCGTGCCCCTTGAAATCCAACCCTTCGAAATGCGGCGAGGCCCTTTGAGCTGAATCTTGGCCCTTTCTAGTCACGTCTAAATCCCGACTGAGCAGCAAACACTCACTGCCAGTTTCCCAAATGTAGTCTTGGCAATCCTTGTAGCTGTTGGGAAAAACTGGACCCCTCTGGTTTTCTTGGACATGTAAGGTACCTGATTTAGTTGTTTGGGACAGTTTGTTCCGGAAACCGGATTGTGGTTTTCCCACCGGATTCGTTGTTTTCCAGTACCCCCAGTTTGGTTTGTTCCGGAAACACGGGGAACACAAATCCGGTGCTTATGAGGCGCCCACTCCCACATCCGCGGTCTGGGCCTGGACGATGCCCTGGACGCCCGCATGGTGTCGCAGGCGGATGGAATCCAAACCGGGGGAGTCCAGAAATCGAATCAAGAGCTTTCTGGTGTTGCTTTATTTAGATTGTTTTTGGGTGTTTATTTGCTTTGTGAGTTTGTTGGTTTTTGTCTTTGTGTGTTAGCTTGTTGTTTGCTTGGGTGTTTGCTTGGGTGTTAGCCTGGTCTTAATGTGTTTGTGTTTATTTGCTGTGTTTGTTTGGCTGTGTGGTTGTTGGTTTTCTTTGTTTGTTTGTTTGTGTGTTTGTGTGTTTGGTGTGTGTTTGTTTGTTTGGTTGCGTGTGTTGTTGGTTGCTTCTTCTTTTTGTTTGTTTTGTGTGTGTGTGTGTGTTTGTTTGCTTGTTTGTTTGTTGTTTTGTGTTGGCTTGTTGTTTGCTTGTGTGTTTGCTTGGGTGTTAGCTTCACGTGTGGTTGTTTATTTGCTTTGTTTGTTTGGTTGTGTGTTTGTTGGTGGTGTGTGTTTGTTTGTTTGTTTGGTTGTGTGTGGTGTTGTTTGTTTGTTTGTTTGTTTGTTTGTTTGTTTGTTTGTTTGTTTGTTTGTTGGTTGGTTGGTTGGTTTGTTTGTTTGTTTGCTTGTTTGTTTGTTTGTTTGTTTGTTTTTGTGTGTGTGTGTTTTTGTTTGTTTGCTTGCTTGCTTGCTTGCTTGCTTGCTTGCTTGCTTGCTTGCTTGCTTGCTTGCTTGCTTGCTTGCTTGGTTGCTTGGTTGTTGTTCGTTTGAGTATTTGCTGTTTGTTTGTTTGTTTGTTTGCTTGTTTGCTTCTTTTTTTTTGTTTGTTCGTTTGTTTGTGTTTCACTTTTGTTTGTTTGTGTTGTTTTTTTTGTTTGTTGTCCCACTATGGCCCACTCAACAACAACATGTACGGGCCACGGTTCATTCCTCCTGTCCAGTTCATAATATTTATAACTTACGATATTTGTCACCAGGGGTCTATTTCTATTTTCGATAGGATCGCTCACCATGAGTTACCACTACTATCGGAGTTAGAACGAGAGTTTGTTTCGACCTATCCCTCTGCCGCTGGGCCCCCTGCAAGACCCGTAATGTTGACCCTGGATTAATAAACCTCCGTTCACTCCTTATGAGGACGCGAGAGGTAGAACCATCGGAACTATTTCTTTTGGGGCCGATCGGAGCATTTTTAAAGAGAAGCAAATGGGACGTGGATGCCACTGAACTGGGTAGATCAAAACCCAGTAGATTTTGTTTCCAATAGGGGAGAGCAGTGGTTAAACTGGAACGTCCTCTTGTGCTGATTCGGATGGGTATCACAGAAAGCGATTCATAACCCAGACACCCAGCGCCCAAAATTCCTTCTTTTTTATTGGGTTTCCCCTGAAGATCGACCAGCACAATGGTGACGTTGCTTTTGTTCCCAAGAATCAACTAACTCTTGGCACTTCCCATGACTCAACTACCAAAGCAAACGGCACCGGTCCATTCATGAAACTTCCAAAAGCTTGTTTCCCTTTTTCCAATGCCAGAGGTTCTCCCCCCTTGACTGATTTCGCAGGGCATGGTCGGGCAGAACGGCGCCAGGCATGTGCGAAGCAACCGGCTGGACACAGGGAAACCCTATTTGTTGTGCGTTCCTTTAGGTTTCCCTGAAGCACCCTCCCAAAAGGGTGCGGCAAAAATTGACAGACCCATATTTTTGCTCTTTTGGTGGATTCAAACATCACTTGTTCGTCACATTTAAGTTGGGTTGTCTTTTGGTGGTGATAAATAGACATTTAAGGAGCCATGTTGAGTGATTAACTCAGGGAGGACTTCATCCAATTCACTTAGGAAGTGAGTTAAACAATCATGTTCGTAGGGTGCATGTTGAACTGATATTATGGTGTAGCCAGAATGAATTCACCTTGCCACCAGCTGACAAGGAATCGGAAGGCAGATGTACGAACCTATTTTTCTACTCTAGTGACCTTGAATCGGGCATGTCAGAGGACGAGATTGTCATGTCTATGGGGTGTGTGCAATTTCATCGAGCAGACGTTGGTGAAGGTTGTCTTTGCACTCCTTTGCACCCCGCAGGGCCCGTGTCTTTTTGAGGGTGCCTTTTTTGGGCGGTTTGGAGGGAAAGCAAAATGCAGACCACGACTTGTGGGGTCCGATTCCTAGATGGCGCACATATTTTCATAATATAAGACAGGAGGCCCCCACAAGCAGAGTCCTCGGCTGTTTGGATTCAATGTCAATCTGCAGAGCCGCGCGAGAAAACAAAGCAGCGAGTGGATCAAACAAAAAAAAGAAAACATCTCCGATGGATTTGTGGGAGCAAAAAGCATAAACCGAGCTCACCCAAATCCCTCAGTTGGGGATCTTGTTGTTTCAGGTTAGTCACGGACCATCAATACACATATTGGTATGCTCATGAGTACACTTCCGTTGGCCTTGGGATCCGCATGGATCTCTTTTGGCTCGGACACGCGTCCAGTGCAAAGCAGGTTGTTCATGTCTGAATTTTCAACCCCCTGCTGCATTAAACCCGCGCCAGTCGTTGCCATTAGTGAAGTTGGTTTTGTCGTGAACACCAGCGGCCGGGCTGGTTCCAGTCAAGCCGAAGCACACTAGAGATCAGTCAGAACTCTCGTTGGATTCCACCCTGAAAGATTGCTTTCCCCTGCACATTCTTGCCCAGAAGGAAACGATGCCTGGAGGTCTCTTGCATGGCTTGGACAGCTGATACCATTGGAAGGCTGTTTGACCGAAGAAGATTCTGGCAGGTGTCCGCTCAGAAAACCACCTGCCAAAGGGCGGGTGCTTCCTAAAATAGGAATTGGTCCCCCCCAAAATGGTGGTTGTCCCTGCAATGTCCCTTTAAACCTTCCAAACAAGGTGCCCTCAAAAATACGGTGCCCCCAATTCCAAGTTTGTGTGGGTGTGTGTTTTTTGCGGCTGCCCTTTACCATGTTGTCACCTTAGCCCCAAAAACGGTTTTGGTGTTTGGACGTTAGGCATCCTCCATTGTTCGATCGGGCGCAACCTTGCTCACCGTCCAAGGCCAAGCTTGCCAATGTGCGTCCCTGTCTCGGTAAACTTGAAGAACCACAGATTGCCCAATGATGCTTAAGGACCAGCAACCAAACCAATACATATTCATATCATATACGAATGATATACATATACATACACATATGATATACGTGTATATATATATACATATACACGTACATCTACATACGTGCATATAAATACACATACAAATCATATGATATACGCATACTATACATACGCATATGCATGCACTCATCTGATGTCTAGGCTCTGCTTATCACTCCAAACTCCACGCCAGAAAACTCCGCAGGCGCGCGGCCGGGGTGATTTTGTCCATGATCCAGGACTCAGATCGCGTACGGCGGGTTCCGACGGACCCGTTCTCCCGGAGTCCTTTCTTTGGGGGAGAATTCTATGGGGCTAAGTACAAAGTGCTTTGACCTGAGGGTGCCCAGATTGTGTTGTGTGTGGTGGGTGTGAGTTTTGAATGGAAGTTGTTCAGCGAGATCTTCCGACCCGAAGGGCATTTGTCCGGGCGATGTCGAGGCTTGAAAAAGCCCAAGGAGCTCTCAAAGGGCTGCTAAACTCGTTGGGGGCAATGTCCCGACCGAAATTCCTCATCAAGCAACCCGCAGGACCGCAGGATGGGGGAAAGCAACTCAACCCCCGTTGGAGACAATCCGACCCTAAGTCCTAATTTTATTCCTACCCTGAATCCTAATCCTCCCCTAATCCAACCCCAAATCAACCCTAATCCTAAGCTAGGTCCCCCAGTAGTGCCTTTTTACCCTTCTTGGGGGCGGGTTCCCCTACTAAACTAGACTACAGAAAAAAGGGTACCCTTATTCTAACCTCTCTACTGGAGGACCTAGTAAGACAAGCAACTCAACCCTCATCCTACCCTAAATCCAACCCCCTAAACGAGAGCAAACCCAGATCCCAAGGGGTCCGCGCAAAGACGGATCCTCGAGAGGGGCGAGATCACCTTGAACCGACTCACCAGCTTTTTGCCGGCAGTGTTTTCGCCATACGGTGCGGTTCCTCAAACTGTTGCATCCCACTAAAGGTTGAGAACTGTTGTAACTATTCTATTGGTTTTAGTATTCTGTTTGTCTGGTATGTTTGTCAGTATCCTGCTGTTCCTTCCTTATCTATTAATCATTGATTGCTCATTGTTTAATGACTTATTAATCTTTCACCGTGGCACAGACAGAGGAAAGAGGCACAGAGATAAAATACACATAAAAGCCATTCCTCTACCTTCATTCCTTTATTCATTTGTAATCTCTGGCGGTATCCCGTCCTTCCTCTCTCACTATCTCACTCACAGAGAGGCCAGGCTGTGAATCAGAAGATGGAAAGTGCGCAAACTTGTGAATGCTCTTGGACACCGCAGGTAGACGCAACAAACAAGATCTTAAATCCAAATGTTATTCTCATTTTAGAGCTTGTGTTGGTGGCTCTAGAGCTAGCATGAGAATACGGAACATGATAATAATGAAAAGGACAATTTCCCAATACATTAAACGTGAGTGACATGTCCGGGATCTCCCTTTGTCAGCTTTCATTCTACTTGTTTAAAGTTGCGGCTTGTGTTGATCATTGTTTCCGTTCCTCCCGTTTGATGTTTTATGGCTTATCTCATTTTGAAGAATTCTCTTTGTCTGTCTCCAACGTACCTCTCCTCTCAAAGTCGAGATAAGTTCATATTCTATTCTATTGTTTATCACACATCCTAAAGGCTGCATACTTTTAGCAAGCTATTCACAACGACGCAGTGGAACAAGTGAGCCTTCCATTGCGGCACATTTTTTTCAGCCGGGTGTCCAGGGGTCTGTGCTTGCCATAAGGGATCACTGGGGGTTTATCCGCACTTCTGTGGTACAGGGGAAATCTGGGGGCTGCGTCTTTGGGAAGCCCTCGTTATTGTATCACGGAAGTGGCCATGTCCCACAAGCCTGGTTAAAATGGGCCTGTGTGCAAACATTTGTTGGATTTGCACCCTGAAAAAGAAAAATCCAAGTGCCAGCAACCCCGGAACCCTCCCTGAAAGCTGCCCCAAAGCCCTGAAAGCTGCCCCAAAGCACCGGGAAGAAGTGTGGGCTTTTCCTCTTGGTCAGAAGACACATCATTAGATGACTGAGTACCCGAGGGCTGCGCACATGAACCACTTTTTAACCTCAGAAATAACAGAAGAGAAGCTTCGGCCCTTTTTTCCCTTTGCTAGGTCCCCCAGTAGTACCCTTTCTCACCCTTTTTTGGGGGAGGGTTCCCCTACTAAAATAGACTACAGAGAAGAATCGGGCACCCTTATTCTAACCTCTCTACTGGAGGAGCTAGTTTGGGTTCTTTCATGTTTGCGAGAGCAGTGGGTGCCAAGACAGCCAGTCTCGCAGAGCAGGAAATGGACGGCCATCTGACCAAGTCTCAAACCACCAAAGTTCCTTTTTTGACTTCAACTCAATGTTCCCTTTAAAGCACTGTTAAGCCCAACAGGGCATACCCTCCAAAATGAATACCCCGCACTTCCCTGTAAAACGATGTTCCCTTTAAAACAATGTCAATTTCAAGAGGGCACACCCTCCATACATATGCCCCCCCGTCATCGCCGGCATGGTTTTCAGGAGGAAAAGATCGCAGGCAGAGCCGTGCTCATCGCCGGCCAGCCGGGAACTGGCAAAACCGCCTGGCGCTTACCGGCAAGGCGAAGGCAATTTGGCTCATTTTCTAGGTCCCCCAGTAGTGCCCGTTTTAACCCCCCTTTTTTTGGGGGAGGGTTCCTCTACTAAGATTGTTCAAATAGACTACAGAAAAAAATGGGTACCCTTATTCTAACCTTTCTACTAGAGGACCTAGTTTTGCAAAGAGAAACGTGGGCCTTTTCCGACAGGGCGTTCAGCAACCCTTACGCCCGCTAAGAAGCTTCTATTCTGTCGTTCTTGCTTTCCTGGAGGTTTGGGAGGGGGGATTCTCCCTACACCTGGATTGGACGTGCAGTCGCCTGCTTGCGCTGCTGAACTGTACACTGTACACTTGTCGTAGCCGGTTTCCCAGTGCCCCGCTTGGGGTTGAGACATCTCAATTGGTGAGCGCATATCGCGACCGGGTTCAGGGGTTGCCTACTCATGAGTGCACAAGCCCCAATGCACAGCTTGCTGTGCTTTGGTGATGGCTTCGACCCGGTGAAATCCCAATCAATTGGGGACCCCAACCCCTTCCAGGTGAAATCCCAACTTCCATTTGCTTCAGAACCTGCTTTATTCCCCCCTTGGTTTGAAAGGGAGTCTATCACTGGCCATAAGTTCATTTGTTCCATTGGGTGAACAAGCAAATGGATGCAAGAATATTAAGTAATCTTAAGCAAATGGAAGAACATGTAATCCAACTGATATATATATATATATGGTCGCCCCCAACCCTTTCGCCTCGCTCGGCTCGCTGAGGCCATTGCCATGGGCATGGCGAAGGCCCGAAGTTCGAGACCCCAAGTGGGAGGTGCTTTTCAGGGCCCTCCCCCCACCAAACAAAAACAAAGAGCATGCCCTGTTGTTTAGGCCCCCCCCCCAAAAAAAAAAGACCTCAAAAAAAAGGTCTGTTCTGTTTTGTTTTTTTTCAGGGGGGGAGGACCCCGTCGCAAAAAAAAAGAAAGCTCAGGTGATATCCCCAACAGCATGCGGAACCCGGTGCTCGTTTCAGCGCTTGCACTACCCCGCAGCCCTCTCAGAACCTCGTGGAACCCTCGTGGAACCTTGCCTCAGGGCCGCCCCGGACCACCCCAGAGCCTATCTGGGCTGAGACCCCAAAGCTTTCAGCTGTTGGGGAGAAAGAACAAAGAGCATGCCGTGGTGCAGATCGATGGAACAAATGACGAGAGAAGAAGCTGAATGCCATAGAAAAACACGTAGGTTTAGGTTGACGAAAGATGAAGCAGAAGCTCATATGATTTTCCTTGTCGAAGGGTGTGGCCGGGGAAGGGAGGGGAGAATGGCCAATCACTGCTTATGTTTCAGTGACTTCCGCACGTCAGAAGCACCAGAGGGTAGAAGCATCTCAGTATCCCACAGAAAGTTCGGAGGTTTTTTCCTGACGCCATGGACCCTTGCCCTCTGGTGATTCTCGTGGATTTTCAACCTCCGGCTCTCCCAGGTCCCCCCCCCCCCCGTTGGATTTCCCGCTCCAGGCTCTTGGTGATGACACGTCGGGCACTTGGATTTCAGCCTTTCTCGCCTTGGAAGGGGCATGGGCTTTGAGCGCATGCCAGCCTTACAGTCCAAACGACTCTTCTATCTGGGTGTTTTTCAACATGCTGGACCCCCCTTTTGGTTGTTAATGTTGACCCAGGATTAATAAACCGGTCCCATTATTAGGGGGGTGTTCCCTCCAAAAGTGGTCTGAATCCCCACTCAAAAGGGGGCACCCCCCGATCAAAATCAACCAGGGGTTCTACTTAGATCCGGGGTGAACATTAAGGGAAGCCAACGGAAACCACCAAACTTTCGGGATATTTTGAGAAACACCCATCCACTTCAAGCATCAAGTCTTGGGTGTTCTCCGCGGAAAAAGAAATCACTCGGAGCTGGCAGGACTTCTCTCGATGAGTTGGGAGAAGGTTTTGTCAGTCGAATGAGGAAAGCAGGGGGAGCTTTTTGCAGACCATGAGAAGGGGATACCCTGATCAGGGCTCCTTAAAATAAATTCATTTTGAACTATTGAAAACATGTGGCTTTTTCCGTAGCAAAATAAAAGGAAACCACCATTTACGAGTTGCAATGTTCAGGTGTATAATGTAAGGATCCCTGCTGATGGCTTGTCCTTGGTTTGGGACCCTCTTTGCCTCAGTGAGGCTCTAAACCCTCCTGTCGTCAGTCTCCATATTGGTGGATGGACTGATGGACTACAAAAAGATGGGGGTGCTGTTGTTGTTCAAACCCCAAGCTGCTGTTTGGGCCAAATGGTAAAGGGCGATTTGCAGGTTGCTCAGGACTGGGTCCGGCGAATCTCCGCAAAGGGCGTCCACGTATGAACGGGCGACACGGGGTTTATGATCCACGGAGACAGCTTCCACAAGGGGCTGGCGGTCAGTGGCAACCTGATGGTCCGGATTCTCCCCGAGATTTGTCTCCTTTTGAGGCAAACTTCTCAGGTGCCATGTGGCACCAATGAGTTCCGACGCTGGCGCTGGCGAAGTCCAGACCCACCCGTCACATCCCCTATGTGGGGTTGAGCAGCCGAACACGCGCGATGGCGCGCGTTTGGATTGGTTGTGTTGACATCACCTTGGCCGTACTGTGAGTCGTTTTTTCGGAGCTGACCCTTGTTGCTGCAGGGAAATCCGTGGGAACTCTAGAGATCACCCTGGTTTGTCAGGGGATACGTGGCCCGGCAGGTTTGCGTTGTCAGGTTGGGAGCAACCCGACGTGGGGCCAATGATTGTCCCAGTGAAAGGATCTTCAAAGGGGGGAAACACAGGGAACCGGAAGGGAAAACCAATATGGCAAGCCCTATTTTACGCATTCCTTCCATTTGCTTCAGAATATGTGTGATTTCCCCTTGTTGGGTTTTGAAGGATTCTGTCAGTACTGGAAATGTTTTCGTTGTTTCCATTTAAGCAAATGGAAGATTTGAGGACGTCACGCTTTCATGGACCCAGTTTGAGCAAAAAAGTGTTTCTTTCCCATGGGATGAGCAAACACATCAAAGATTCCCCAATAAAACGCAGTCCCATGTGTCACAATTGGAAAGGTTTCTCTTGCAAATGGATAGCCCAAACGAGAAACTCATGGAAGACACCCCACCCCCGAAAAAAGAAAGCCCAAATACGAAAAACTACTGGAAGATAACCCCCCCCCCCCTCCCCTCTACGAAAAGGCGAGCGCTCGGGTCCCGATACCGACCACACAAAAAAGGAGAGGAGAACCGGAAACCGACGCCAGGCGCTTGGAGCGAAGCCAAAACTTGCGCCCACACCGAGGCCCTTCACCATGCTCGCGGGCTCCGAGATCTTCTCCCTGGAGATGTCGAAGACCGAGGCCCTGACTCAGGCGGGGCGGGTTCCTTGGGCCCCGCTTTTTCCGGCAAGCCATGTCCAGAATTGGTTTCTCTGGTTGATTCCTTGTCCATTCCTTTCAACCATCGTTCTTTCCAAAAAGGCTGTTTCCACTGGGTTTTTGATGGTTTCCTGAAAAGAAGGATCTTTTCGGAAAGAATGGAAATGGAAGGCACCCCTAGAGTTTCCCTTGGACAAACAACCCAAAAGAGGGCAGCCTCAAGAAAAAGTGATGGGCACCTAGTCACTAGGTGTATTGCTGGTTCACCGACCGAAACGTGAAGATATGCCGCCGGAGCCGGTTGCGGTGCAAAAAAAAAACGACCCCCCGGTCCACATTGACATGGATCCTCGGCGGGTCCTGGGTTAGACGCTTTTCCGTCAAATGCCCGTTCCATGTTCAACCGAACAGCTAACCCTTACACCTGTTGGATTTCCCCTTGGTCATGTTCTAGTCGCCCGAAAGAGGTGACCTTCTATTTCCGGGAGTGAGAGAAGAACACATCCCTTTCTTCCTGAGTACATGGACTTCAGGAAGTTTTCTTGGGCTTATTTACTATTTTCGTGGTAAATAATTAATAAGCAAAGTTGCAGGACTTCCATTTTTCAGTGGTAACTAACAAGTTCCTGGTTTCCTTTTTGTTGGCACATCCACTCGTTCCGTCTCCTTCGCCCATAAGCGCTCCCCGTGCGGCGCGTTCCGGGCGCTCGCGTTTTCCGAGGCCTTCCGAAGGTCCATCGGCGTGCGAATACGCGAAGAGGCGGAGATCATCGAGGGCGAGGCGCGAGTCGGGGGTCGTCCACCGATGATTTGGGGCGCGCGCTTTTTGTTTTTTTTTGGGCCAGCTAGGTTTCCCCCAGCAATTGGTGGCCGACCTCTCACCCCGTTTTTGGTTGGGAGGGGAAACCCCTACTAAAATAGACTCTTACTCTACCCTCGCTACTGGAGGACCTAGTGGGAGTTGGACTCCCCGTGTTTTGTTGTGGCTGCTTTTTGGGGGGACACCAGAGGGACAACCACGATTTGGGAGTTGGCTCGTCCTGCTTGTGGGAGATTCAGGGGAAACCACAAGGAAAACCCACCATTTTGGAAGGTCCCCCGGAAAAAAAGACACAATAACACACGCACACACACACACACACACACACACACACACACACACACACACACACACACACACACACACACACACACACACACACACACACACACACACACACACACACACACACACACACGTGTGTACACACACACACACACACACATACACATACACATACACATACACATACACATACACATACACATACACATACACATACACACATGCAGGGCCTTTCGGGGAACATGTTGGTCTTCTGGCAAGACCCACTGGACACCTGTTTGAGGGAACACAAAATGTTCGAAAGATCTGGGTGACACCTGGCCGCGCCATGAATTAAAGAGGCGCCGGCCTGGTACTGGAGAGACACAAGCCCAAGTTCCGTTAAGGGTGAACCCTTCAAACATGTGGAACTCTTGCCTCAAATGGTGTGTCGTTTTTAGAGCACCCCCCAAAATGGTTTCGTTTTCCTGACCAAAAGGGTGGCTCCCCAGCCCAAAGACGAGCCGCCCTTTTTCTGCAGATCGCGATCGCCAGGTGGTGGAGATCGAGATCGAGCGCCCGGCGAATGGCCAGGCGGCCACGTTTGGCCCGAGGTCCCAAGTGAGGGAAGCGAGGGCCGGAGCGAGTTCGCTGGTTTCACCTCTCTTCTGGATATTATCCATGAGCTTTTGACCGGGAGGTTGGTCCAGTCGTCTTTCTAGACTTCCCTCTAAGCCATCTGTTTTTCATTTGTCTTCTGATAGCTGCATGACTTGGGAATACATTCAGAAGGGCGGGTTCCCTTTGTATTTGTTTTTGGGGGCATGTACTTTTATCATAGCAGTTTGTAGTACGCCATTACCCAACGCGGTATCTGGCTCAAGCTTTTACATCCGGCAAACATCGTCCGCCATTTCGTCGGGAAAAGTCCGCGGCGCATCCGCACGCCGGCCGCGTGGCATCGCGGCCGTCGTGTCTGGGGCGGTGTTCTTTCTCCTGGAGGTGGGTCGGGCTATTGTTTGGGGTGCGCTGCTATTGCTCGCTTTGCTCGCTTGGTGCTGCTTGCTGCTGGTTTGCTTGCCTGCTTTGCGCTGTGCTGCGCTTCTGCTTGGTTCCTTCTTGTTACAACGAGGCACCCCTTTTGGTTCGTGTTAGTGCCGGCCGGGGGCAACTGCTTTGCCCTTGGGACCGGGGGGATAAGGTGGTCTCTTCTTGTTGGTGGGTTAGGGCCTGTTTTATCTATCCCGAAACTCTGTTTCAAACCCTTTCGCAGGTTATCAGCCGTAGGATTCGTCCTCGGTTGGCACCGCGAACCCCTTGTTTAACAACCCTGCAGGCTTTGTAGGGTAGTGTACAAATCATGGCGGGAATCACTGAGGACGGACCTCATGTGGTGACCGACGAATGGGTTCTCGGCCAGGCCGGAATCTTGGACGTTGTGAATGACGACCAAGTGCCCGGACAGCCGATGTTTTCCGGTCCTGACTTCTTATCGGACCACACTTTTTCAGAAGCAATGCCTTCAGAGAGATCCAGTGCTACTCGCACTGATGATCTATCGTCTAATGCCTCAAGAGCTAATCGCTCTCAGGGTCGTGGGTCTGATCGTCCTGGCCATGATGATTCCGTCTCAGGACGTGATGATGACGAGCCCGGTATTGCACCTGGAGCTCAATCCTCATCTTTCCGCGAGCTGATGAATATTGGTCAGTCCGAAACCCGACCGAATCCGGTGGGCTCGATTGGAGAGCCTCATGGCCCAACGACGGAAACATTTTTGGTATGGATTTTGCCGCATGGATGCCAGGGCCACCCGCCCCGTCATCTTTCCCACAATTCCAAAGCCCAAAACGGGCTGCTGGAAGCGACGAATTCATGCTACCTTTGTCGATTGAGAATCTCAATCCTGACGTGGCCAGCCGTAACGTCAGGCCAAGGCCGTCGGTAAACCCGACCATGAGGAACATGTCCCCTCCCCCAGGACTTTCAGGATTTGAGAGCCCTAGGGAGCGTAATATCGTAGATAGATTGGATTTGCATCCCAGTCCAACCCCAAGCAAACGATCAAGGTCAAATTCGACTGGATCGCATAGGGCTAGGGGGATGGATCGGGAAACTGCCCATAGGGTTAACCCCAATACGCGGGACTCAGGACGCGGTCGATCAGGTGACCCAGCGTCGATCATTGGTAGAGATCTGTTAAACGCGGACACGTTGATTAACGTGCTTGATGGGATCGAAGCATTCCAGGAGGAATTCAATAGGTCGAGTGGCCCGAATGTACAGCCTGTTCGCCCTACGCCCAATGCGGCTTCCTTTCTCGCCATTGACAACACAGACGGAGCTGATGTTCCGATTGAGTCTGAATCCATGATGGCATCAAGTTCAAATCACAACAACACCGTCAGCAGCGCTACCGATGTTGAATCAATGTCTGAGTCTAGAGCGTCCAATGCGACTGATTTGCATGACGTTGTCATTGCTGATATGAAGCCTGAAGTTCCTATGCGGACTGATAGGCCGGTAGTTCCCAAATTGTTTGTGACAAAGGGTCTAGGCATGCCACAGCCATCAGCTGTTCGCGATGCCAGAAGATCTGCACCGTATCAGAGTCAGTCTCCGAATCGGAGCGAATTCCCACGGCCATCAACGGCGGTACAAGATGATTTCAGAACACCTCCGAGATCTAATCCGATTATGGTTGATTTGTCCACTCCTCGAGATCGCGGATCAGGATTTGGTCCTGCGAGTGAGGAGCAACCCAACGAGGTTGCTGATCTTGTAACAGCCCTTGAAAGAGGGAGAGTGGACTCTTCGGTAAGTGCGATCATTCATCGCCTGGTTGCTAAGGTCGAAGACCTTGGGCGTAGGAATGATAGAAGTGATCAATGCATCAAGCAGCTCTCCACTGAGGTTAACTCGTGGAGGGCCAAATACGACCAATGCGTCCATGTGAGTAGCACGTGTACGCAGGCTGCGAACGCGGCCATGCAGCTGTCACAAGGGACTAAGGACATCGTGACCGAGCTTGGCCAACGCGTCAAGATCGTTTCCAATCGCATGATAAGCATAGGCGATGCCCTAAATGAGCGAGCCAGCTATGATGATGTTGCTCGCTCTATCACCCAAGTTCAAACTGTTTTTGAATCTCTTTCTGATCGAGTAACCGGGCTTATAGCTCGTGTTGATGCGATCGAGAGATCTCTAGTGGGGAGCCAATCCAACCATCCTGCGATTGGTGGAGTAAACCTCAAAATCGAGGACCTGTCCACTAGGGTATGTCAGATTGATAGGATGATGCAGGATGTCGAACAATGCTGGACCAATAATAGGGACGGCATAAAGTGGGTTAAAGACCAACTTTATGAAACACAAGCCAACCTTGAGATAAAGTCAAGGGACTGCAAATCCTACACGGACAAGCAAAATACTCATAACATGGCCGTTTCGACTACGCTCAACAGTAAGATCGAGCAAATGCTCGAGGTGCTGGGTAATACGGCCCAGAGAATTAACTCCCTCGAGTCAAGGCACTCGAACCAGGCATCAAGTAGTGGATTGAACGATCGCACAGGAGGAAGGCGTGCCGCGTCCCGTACTCCGGATAAGCGGCCACCTCCACCTGGCCCTCCTGATGATGATCCTCCACCACCTCCTCCTCCAGATCGGCAAAGCCCAGGAGGAGGGGGGAAGAAGAGTGCTGCCGGTGGGAACCCTGGCGACCCTGGTAAACCCAGGTGTAAATACGTAGGTGATGGAAATAATCACCTCATGGCTGAGTTTCACTGCAAAGGATGCAGAGGTGATATTTGTGAGTATTGTTTCTCGTTCAAAGAGAACTTGTGTGAAGAATGTTCCCGTAACGGACCCCGATGCGGTGTCTGTAGGGAGAGCTCGTTCCTGACCAAGGGAATTGAGTGTCAGTTTTGTAGGACCTACTACTGCACCAGACATTCTGCTGGGCAGGATGACTACAGGAGATTTGGATTTGTCCAGGGTCCCTGTTGTCTTGCGTGCCTTAGGGACGAAACTAGGAGAAGAAGGGATCCCGATGGTAACCGTGTCAGGAATAGATCTCCTGGAGGCGCACCTGAGACGAACCCGACGCGGTCGTACTCGCCGCCTCTGCGGCCACCCGTTGACAGATTCCGTGACATTCCCACTGGGGGTCAACCCAACGCGGCTGACCTTCAGAGCCCTCCGAAGGCTACGCAACCCGTGCCCCTGGATAAACGTGAAACCGGATATTATCCAGGATTTGATCCCAACGGTACAAGGCCGAAGGATCCTTCAGGCCTTGAGCCGCCGACCATGCGTGGCCCCGATCCTCCTGACAAGAACTGTCGGATGTGTGATCGGGATATTCCTGACCCCAGCAAAATTGGGGAATGTAAGATATGCATGAAAAGGGCATGTGAGATTTGCATTCCGAAGGCTACTCGCCTTTGTCCTGTATGTGCACTGTCAATCGGTAGTTCTCAGGTTCCACAGCATCTTTTCGGAACTGGTGGCGGCGGATACAGTAGCCATCATGATCCGAACTGTACAGCTGCGACTAAGTGCATTCCCATAGACCTCCCGCCAGAGCCCGACGCGGCTGGGCTGAGGGTATGGATAGCCAATATGAAGGAAGCTGTTAGCAATGCCTACAGCTATGATGGACTTTACGTCATCAATTGGCTAACTGAAGTCGAGAAGGCAAAGACCTTTGATGAACTGGATGGGGAATGTAAATACCACATCCTTGAAGCCAGGTTCAATGCAGCCATTCGGAAGTGCATCAAGACTGTTGCAATTATCGATAAGATTAATCGTCTCACCGAAGCCGCTCAACGTTCCAACAATCGCATCAAGAGTAGGCAGATCCTGTGGCTCTTATACGACCACTTAAGGACTGCAAATATCGGAGAGCAATCATTCAGGATAATTGAGCTCTCAAACTTGCGATGCAGTGTTTCATCTTTCTATACTGAAGAGGAGCGACTTGAAAGGTTCATCGCGAAGTGGGATCACATCCTTGCGGGTCTCGATGAACCGCTGACCGAGCAGGTAAAGCGGTCGCTATTCAGTGAGAAGGTTAGACACCTCAACTGTTTGGCTCATGATATCAGGGAATGGGATAGGAACATATCCAACCCTGATGTTTGTAGCTATGAATGGCTTCGTGCTCGTTGTAAGAACGAAATTGACCGCTGGAGGGTTCGTAAGAATCAGGTCAATATGCACAAAGACTTTTACGAACGATCTCAGTCCAGGGACAGAGCCCAGAAACCTGGTGCTCCTGGTCCTCCCGTCAGGAGACGATCTCCGTTTGGAGATTCCTATAGGCCTAATCGGCCTCCTAGTGATCCAAGGAAGAGGACCGGTAATACCCCAAGTCCTCATCGAAGGGACAAGTACTCTCCCAGGAATCGGGAGCAGGACAAGCGGCGTACGCCTAGCCCTAGGGGTGAACCCCCAAGGAGGCCCAGATCTACGTCGCCCGGTGCTCCTGCGATTGATGCGTGCAGGGACTTCGCGCGTGGATACTGTTCGCGCGGACAAGAGTGCAAATTCGCACACACAAGAACTGGGAGTTCCGATGCGAAACGCAAGGAGCGTCCTCCC